CCACACTTAGGAAAAAAATGAAAGTTTGCACCTTGTTTGTTCAATTTTTTGTTATACTGCAGAAACACATTGCGCCCCGTGTTTTTGAAGGCACGGTAGACGGTGGTGACGGTGAGGTGACTGACCCCCATGTCAGCCGGCGTCTCGCTCGACCTCCTCGGAGGACAGGTCGTTTTTACTGGTGACTGGTGCATACGTGGAGCAACTCCGCGCGCATTGCGTTCTTCATCTCAGAGAACGCAATACATGACTCAGCTCTATCTCGTCATCGCTCCAAAATGACAAGTGGAATTCGCAACTGTAGTCGGTGACAGGTCAAGAACGAAGTGGGAGCTCCTCCCACCCTGTTCCACTTCAGCGGAGCGAACGGGGGAGAGGAGGTCGCTCCCTCTCCAGCGTTCGCAAATGGCAAATTTTAGTTTATTAGGCCACTAACTGTCAATTTACGCTCGTTCCTTTACGTCCGCCGCAGCCGATAATGTTATCCCCGGGAATACCAAAAGTATAATTTCTTTCAACAAAAAAAAACAAAACAAAACATAATAATAAAACGCCCGGTATATCACAGCTTTGACAACTCTTCACGTGTGTGAGGTTCGATGACCGACAGAGAACCACCGCTGGCCGTGCTCCCGAAGCGGGGAAGTGCAATTTATGGAGACCGATCATATTATCAGAAAGGTGCAGACTAGGGATCCTTCATGTGTGCGAAGCGCACATGGAGGCACTCTAATGCAGACAATCCAGGAAAAGTATTCTTGCAACTATGAGGTTCCAGTTGTACTTACACATGCATTATCGTCAAATTTGACGGAGTTCCAACACTAAAGAGTTGTCAAGAGTGAAGATTATAAATGAGAATATCAGCAGGAATCTATTGTCTGTTTACTGAAAACAAAACAAGCATCAGAAAAACGCATTTGGGCGGCCAGAAGCACCGACTGCACGCACCCGAATGGGAGGACACTCCTAGCAATTTGTTTTCAGAGCCACGGTATGCCGGCTGCCGGCCAAATAGTCACTTTAATTCTATTATGGCTTTCGAAACGTAAATACACGCTCGAGCATTTTCAACAATATCAAGCGAGCGCCGACCGGCCTGTAGATCAGCGCATCGTCACGGCGCGAAGTAGCGATATCAATGACAGTACGCGCGTGCGCAGAAGAAACGCGCCGAAGTCGGCGTCGGCTGCTAAGCTGTTTCCCCAATCACGACCCACCCTTGGTGCGACGCCCACCGCTTGCCCCACCCCATAAGCAGGGGACCTAGTAATCAAAGCGACACACACGGTACGCAAACACGAACAGCAGCCAGTAGGAAGGACACCGACACGAGCTTAGTCAGCGAACGAAAAGACAGACACAAACTTCACTCTAGGCAAACAGAGCAGGGGTAGTTACAAGGATGAGAGGCGTGCGCAGATGGAGGTAAGCAGTGCACAATAAATACGCGAAAACTCGCAGCAACCGAAGAACCACGCAGCAAACATGTACGTGCACACGCACCAGAAGCACGTGCGTCACGCTGCGTATCTACGCGGAACTGGCGATTTTGGCATTTCGGTAATTTGAAACTTCGATATCGATTGCGTGAACAATTTATTCAGCAAACTGAACCGGTGGAGCCTCGCATAAAAAAAAAAATCGTTTGACAATATGAAAGCGACTGAAATTCTTCCTAAAAGCTATATTAGCAGAAGGTACCGTGTTATAAAGGACCTCACGAGTTTCGACCAAGTTTTCCAGCACGTTATTTTGCAAGAAACGGAAGAAGCCAAGTGTACAACCAGTTTCCGAAGCTGGCAACCACAGCTGGAATCAGCGCCATCCTCGGCAGTTTCCTGAACCTCGCATAGTCACATTTCAGCCACCGCCACATAGAGGGCGCAACCAGACATCCAATTTGTGTTTTCTGTATGTTTTATGATTTTTTTTAATAAATAAGCTCGATTAGTGAAAGTGTGGGCTAATAATCAGGACCTGGAACAGTAATCTCCATTTAATACTAAAAATATCGGCCTAAATGTCTGCCAAAAAGGGTCAAAATACTCGGTTTTGACTATCAACAAATTCGTGATTTCGCCTATATTCAAACTTTTTTTATGGAAACTCAAAGGTGAAATTTAGAAAAAGGGCCTCTAATGACAAAGCAGAATATGTTTTTCTTTGCAGGTCTACAATTTTATTCAAATGTGCCAATCCCTAAGCGCTGTACCACTGTACTACCAAATGAAGTTTGCCAAAAAAACTGTTTTTGTCACTTTTCACGTGAGCATTCCGAAAAAAGTTTAGGCCATATTACAATGAAATTTAGCGTAGCTCTTTCTACCATAGTTGCAAACACATGTAAAAAGTTTCAAATAAAATGACCGAGTAGGCGGCCAAAAATCCGCGACTGAATGTGCTTCCGCGAGGTACATTTTTTAAAGTAAATATCTGTCAAAATAAAATGAAAAACGAAAAAAGGGCCTCTAATGACAATGAACGCACTCTTCTTCTATAACATTCTAAAATTTGAAATAAATTGCTCCAATTGTGCACCCTGTACCACTGTACTACGAAACCATGTTTTGCCGAAAAGGCCAATGTTCGCGGGTGCCCACTGAATTAGCGTTTTGCACTAGGAAAACAAATCCTACATCAGAGGAAAGATAATGTTGTACAGGACAAGATGATATATAACATAATTTTAGAAAGCTTGAACACGCCACAATCGCATTTCGAAAACGTGCGGAAAGCGTCATATGTCATGGCCGCCGTGGGACCGCAGCCTTTACAATTCTTTTCTGAATTTTTGTTTGTGGTGTAAAACCTGACAAATGAACCTATGATAATGTAGTGATTGCGCAGGCGAGCTGGTGGATGTTAACCATTTTGTTCTTAGCCCGAGACTGAGGCAGGAAAAGAGGAAAGTTTCGAAGTAGAAGAAAAATGAACAGTCGAGGACACACGGCGTTAGCGGAAATTTACCTTAATTCTTTGGATTGTATTGTATCTGATAGATTGCAGGAGATGACGTCGGAGTCCTGTTTTGTGAAAAGATATGTCGATGACATTTTAATCTGTTCTTTTCGGGAGGGATTATCTGACACTCTGGAAGCATTGATCAGATCGGCAGCCCCGGAACTGAAGTTTACGGTCGAACGACCTACGAATGGTAGACTGCAGTTCTTAGAACTTATGATTCACAATGAAAAAGGGCTATGTTGGGAATATGGAAAAGAAAACGCGAAACCGCTGCTGTCAAAAAATAGTTGCAATTCAAAAACAGTGAAAGCGGGTATTGTAAAGTCTTTAATCACAAATGCAATGGAAAGATCATGTACACATTTCTTGGCCGAATCGGTAGAAAGACAGTGGAGAAGGCTAAACGGTGCTGGTTATGAGGATGAATTCGTAAGGAAGCAGTTATCCGTAAAATTCGCAAACAAATGTACAGGAGAACCGAAGCAAAGGCCAAAAAATAGAACTATTGTAATTCCATTTTATCACAAAATTTCTCACAACTTAAAGGCTTGTGCCAAGAAGTTCAATGTAGATCTGGTTTTTAGTTCGGATTATAAGTTGAGCAAGCTCACACCTTTCCACAAAAGTGTAAGGGAATGCGCAAAAACACATCGAGAAAAGTCTATTCCGTGTGGTAATGGAGTGGTATATGAAATCCCCCTGGAATGTGGCTTTAAATATGTGGGGCAGACGTCAAGGTGTATAAATGACAGATTGACTGAACACAAAAGGAATGTCAAAAACAACGTTGCCAATTCGGAAATAGCGAAACATGTTCAAGAATGTAATAATTGTATACCCCACTGGTCTGAAACAGAGATTATACACAGGGAGTTAAACGACATCAAAAGGGTTGTAAAAGAAACAATAAGAATGAAATCAATGGGCAACTGCATTAGTCAGGTGTCGTTACAGCTTAGCAGCAGCGCAAAATCATTCTTGCGGATTTGAAAGTTTTGTGAAGTGCTTGTTGAATGTGAAGGTGTAAGTGGTTTCTTCCTTTGTGTATCACGTGGATTGATATCTTCTGTTACCGGGATGCTTTGTGATTATGGGTCGGAGAGTAGAGGGAGAGAGTGTACTGTGTACGCGAAGGATTCACAAGTGTCTTCCGGATGAGGGGAGCTATTGTTCATTGCTTTGTGGAAAACGTCAAGGTCGTTTGACAATTGTGGTGGAAAGATGTGAGACCTTTGTTATCTTTTGGCTTTCGAGATCGGGAAGGTGCTGTGGTGAAGTTTGTGGAGTGTATATAAGAAGGTGACCAAATAAACTTGTCTTTAGCTGTGTTAGAGACGTGTCCTCGACTGTTCATTTTTCTTCTACTTCGAAACTTTCCTCTTTTCCTGCCTCAGTCTCGGGCTAAGAACAAAATGGGTAAATGAACCTAAACTTTCGTAAGACCTTTTTATGACCTTTTCTAGACGTTCATCATCTTCTGTGTTTAATTATTCATTCGACGGGTTATGAATGGAAACGATTTTGAATATAAATATCTTGGCCTCCTTTTTACGCCAGATTTATCTTGGTCTAAGCACATTGATACGACATGTAATAAATCGCTTAAAAGAATTGGATACCTGCGGCATACCTTACGTGTGGCACCTCAAGATAGAACTAAGCTTCTAACTTTTAAAACTTTGATTCGCCCAATCCTCGAATATGGTTCTATTATTTGGTTTCCCTACAAACAGTCCGATAATAATAAAGTTGAATCAGTTCAAAAGAAAGCAATATGTTTTATTTGCCGTTGGTATGACAGAAACTTTTCTCCTTCTTCTAACCTCTCCGTGTTAGGCCTAAGACTTCTTTTTGAGCGTTGTGGTATTGAGCGCCTAAAGTCTTTGTATTTCATGATTAACTCATCACGTTTTGACTCTTTAGATAGCTACATAAAGTTGCTCAAGTCAACTGCAACTAGGATCCACCACAAATTAAACATTTTACCTTTTCATCCTCGTACTGATATGTTTAAACACAGTTTTTTTCCTCACATCATTGAACGTTGGAATTTGTTGCCAGGAAACATCCGGTCACTACAACCAGATGAATTTCTGTGTGCCGCTGACAGTGGTCCATAGTGATGTCTGGACCGTCTGTGTATAACCCCCACTCCTGCCATAGCCCCACTGGGGATGCAGTATCTATAAATAAATAAATAAATAAATGAATAAATAAAAACTATGCCAGGTTACGACGCGAGAGCTACACTTCTAAATGTTTTTTTTTTTTTCCTCTTTAGAACAAAATTATTTTATTTAACCTCTCAAGAACGAAAGGCAACAAACTCTTCTGTAAAAGTCGCCATGTTTCATATTTTTCTTTGGGCCACCTCAAGACAGAATTGATGGCCCTTGAAATGGCAAAACGCAATTTCGCACAAATTTAGTTGTTTTTCTGCATGGTACTATTTAGTTGTACGGCCTCTGAAACCTTTTCTTTTCTGCAGTATACCTGCAGGGCTGTCAATAAAAATTTTTACAGTCACCTGCAGCAACGAGATAATTTGTAACAAAACTGTCGAAAATGCTCAAATTTTTACATATTCCTCATTTTTCTAAATTGCTTCAAGCCAATATTCATGATGTTTATTACACAGCAATTCAAATACAGTGTGGTTTTTAGGCAAAAATATTCCACCTTTCAATAAATACATCTTACTTCTCATGAAGAAGTAAGATATATTTATGGAGAAGTCCGCGTTGCCTGACGCATTGAGAAGTCAACGTCAGCTGATGCCGCCCTTCGATTAGGCATCGCGTTTCGGACTGTGAGGAGCCGCCCTCGAATACAAAGGGCATGAGGGGCCTACTATGGCCACGCACTGGCGGCACCTCCGATTACAAACACGATGCCTGCCGTTTCTTCCCTTGCAGCTAAAAAGACGGACAATGGGAAGCGGCAGTAAACTCCGTTCTTTCTTTGGACCTAATTGTGTCAGCTATCGTCACCGGTGGCATGCTGTGCGGCGTTAAAGGGACACTGGCAGGGTATTTATGCTCGCCGAGGTTTTTAGTTGTACGTGACATATGAGAGCCCAATTACCCAGAACAGAATTTGCGGCTCGAAACTCGGTTTCTTTCGGCCCGAAAACCGCCGATCGAGAACTGGCCGGTTCGAGTCGCGCTCACTCTCTTTTCTGTGCTCATGGGCCGTTTTCTAATGTTTGGACGCGATCACCAAATTTAATCAAAGTCGTGGGTCACTGAAGGCAAACAGTCGATACTAAAACGAGAAAAAAATATGAAACCCATTTTTTGTGGTTTTTAAAAAGCTACAGATACGTTGATTGAAAGCAAAAAGGTTGCACAGACAACCGGAAGCATTTTGTGCATTCACTGCATAACTCTCAACATGGCGTCTGTTTGCGTTTCGTGGGACTCGCGGGTGGCAGCAAACGACGGGCGTGGGACCTCTACTTTAGAACTGTTGTTCACGGTACCGGCGAATTCTGTCTTCCTTCAAAAGAGAAATTTCGGACCGATCAAAATTGATATTCATCTCGTAAGACACGCCCGACCAGCAAGCCGATTGCACGAAGACGTCGGCGAGCCGTCGTCCCTTCTCGTAGCTGAAGACATCACTTGCTCAAACGTCAAGCATGAAATGCGTACATCAAGTCGAATACGCACGCGTACGGTTTCTTTACGAGGTGCAAATGTGGCCAATGCGTGGTGCTGCTGCCCGACTTCAAGCCGGGAGTGCATGTACTGAAGAGAAATCGGCCGCAAGCTTTTCGACATACAGTCGACCGGATGCATTACTACGAACAAAAGAGTTCCTTCAGTAGCTCACGGGTTCAAACCCTAGTGTGGGCGTACCATTTTTTTTTTTGCGAACATTTTGCGATGTTTACATTTCTTTTTTGTTTTAGAATTACAACTGAAAAAAAAACACAAAAAAATAATTGCCTTGGACGATACGTCGCTGAACTAAATGGTATGGGATTCCATTTTTGACACCTCCGCCGCACAATGCCACTTTCAGATGTGAGGCAGCTCTTCACACAACATCTTGGGAGTACTCTTTTCGGAGCCGATCACGGGAATTCCCCACAGGCACTCACTACTAATTGCCAACACTTAAAGGGACACTGACAGGGTATTTATGCTCGCCGAGGTTTTTAGTTGTACATGACATATGAGAGCCCAACTACCCAGAACACAATTTGCGACTCGAAATTCTGTTTCTTTCCGCCCGAAACTGGCCGGTTCGAGTCTCGCTCACTCTCTTTTCCGTGGTCACGGGCCGTTTTCTAAGGTATCAAAGCGACCACCAAATTTAGTCAAAGTCCTTGGTCACTGAAGGCACACACTCAGTATTAAAAATAGAAAAAAACATTAAACCCATTTTTTGTGGCTTATGAAAAGCTGCAAATACGTTGATGGAAAAAAAAGTTGCACATAGAACTGGAAGCATTCTGTGCGTGCGTCGTTTCGCGTATCCTGGGACTCGCGGGGACGGTGACGGCAGCCGACGACGGGCGTGGGATTTCTACTTCAGAACTGTCGTTCGCGGTACCGGTGAATTCTGTCTGCCTTTAAAAGAGAAATTTGGGACTGGTCAAAAGAATTGGTATTCATCCCGTACACGCCCGACCACCAAGCCGATTTGCACGAAGACGTCGCCGAGCCGTCACTCCATTCTCCTGGCTGAAGACATCGCTCGTGCAAACATCAAGCACCGCACGAAGTGTTTACTTCGAGTTGAATATGCTCGCGTACAATTGCTTTACTAGGTGCGAATGTCGCCAATGCGTCGTGCTTCCCGACTTCGCCCCAGAGTGCTTTTGCTGAAGAAAAGTCGGCAGCAAACCTCCCAACTTACAGTTTACCGGCTGATTATTACTAAGAAAAGAGATCCCCCAATAAATGTCTGCCCCAGTAGCTCAGTTGGAAAGACGTCTGCTTCACATGATGTAGGACCGGGATCAATCCCCAGTGAAGCATTTTTTTTTTTTCAAACATTTTTTGATGTCTACATTTCTTCTTTTTTTTTTTTTTTACAATTATCACTGAAGAAACAAATAAAAAATAACAAACAAATGTTGTGGCCGACACATGGCTGAATTAAATGGTATGGGATTTCCTTTTTGACACCTGCGAACTCAATGTAATCACTGACCACAAAATGCAAAGGCATACAAATCAGGTAGCGTCCGCTTTCCGAGGTACCCGTAAATGTTCTACAGGAATTTCAGCCAGCCATTGGTCCCGATCCCGTTGATCTTTCGGAAACTCTGTCGCACAATGCCACTTTTTTTCGGACGCAGGACATGTGTGCCAGCTCTTCACGCAACACCTTGGGTGTATTCTTTTCGGAGCCGATCATGGAAATTCACCACGGGCACTCACTACTCATCTCCAACTCCTCAATGTACAAAACAACTCATCTTGGAGTACAGAACAGCGAATGGAACAAACATAACTGCAAAAGAATCGCACGGGAAACAGTTCCCCCTACACCACATGTCGTCTGCTACGCACAAAAGAGAGAAAAAAAAAAAAAAAAAAAAGACCGCACGGTCGGGTGTAGTTACGTGACTTCCGCCACTTACACTCTTCTCTCCACTTCTCCGACCTCCGTGCGCGGGTTTCGGTTTCGAGGAGTTGCGTCTTTTGGCTTTATTAAAAAAATACACTACTCTGTTGCAAAATATTAATTGGGTAGTCCTCCGACACCATAATAAAGCGCCTGGCAAAAAATGTAAAAAACTTTTTGGGGGTGTCAGTGTCCCTTTAAGGGAGGATGTGCGTTCTCAAAAAATATTCTTTGTTTATTGCTGTATCTCTGATTTTTTGCGCAGGCATCCAGTTTATTGTGCTGATTTCATAACTGCAATCAGATTTCAGATATCTCTTCTTTGTCAAAAGTTATCAACAAAATAAAATATTAATTGGTTAATTTCAGGAAAAGTTTTAAAAAACCTTCTGATTAAAATTTTAATGAAAAAAAGGTATCAATTGCTTTCTAAAGAAGTGCCATACAAGCTAAAGCTATTTTTATTTCTTTAGCACTATATAATAATATAAAAAAATTAAAGTAAATAGAAGACATAAAACAGCGGCTATAACAATGTCTAATAATGAAATGCCAGTTTTATATATCACTAAATATTATAATAAAATAGCTTTAGCTTGCAGTCTAGTTCATTCCCAAGAAAATAGTACCAAGTTTATGAAAATCGGTAAAGCACAAGTGAATCAAAAAGCCTTCCTGGCCGGAGAGGAGGCTGAAGAAACCAAAGCTGAGAAAATCGACTTTGAAATTTGGGTAAGCATAACTAACATTGAAGCTTTAGATAAGTGGAATGCCTTTGGTTTGAATTTAATACTAAGGGAGAGACACGGGTGGGAAAAGCAGCCTATATGCAACAATTGGTTAGCCGTCAGAAGGGCTTTTTTAGGGGACGTGGGGACGTTTTCAAAGCACCAGCTTGTGAATGGGCGCGGCCATTCCACACTGCTCATATTTGGTGGTCGCGAAGAACATGTTCAGCACGTTCAAATCCATGATCAGAAACTGCGTGCCGAAATCTGTCTCTTTATCCTCAACAGTGACATTGAGGAGGTCAAACTCCCGCTGTGTGGCAGACTTCGCGGCCAAATCCTGCTTCATCTCGTCAGCCCGCGCCGCACGTTGAGCAGTTTCGCTTGCCGTGTAGAAATGCGAGTCGAGTCATGACGCACCAGGGCCGAAGCCGCCGTCTTCTTCGTTGCTCACATCAGGGGCGAGCACCTCGGAAAACGACGCAGCTGCTGGCAGCCATACCTCGGCAAACCTCACTCATGAGGGCCCTCACTCACCCTCATCTTCACCGGTGAGGTGAGGGTGAGTGAGTTTCTGAATCAGGAAAATCCATGAGTATGAGGGTGAGTGAGGGCCGTGAGGGCTGTGAGTGCGTGAGGGCCGTGAGGACGGTGAGAGGCATGAGAGCCATGAGTGCGTGAGGGGCGTGAGGGTGGTAAGTGGCGTGATGGACATGAGTGCGTGAGGGGTGTGAGGACGGTGAGGGCCGTGAGTGCGGTGAGGGGTATGAGGGCCATGAGTGCGTGAGGCCGGTGAGTGGCGTGAGGGCCATGAGTGCGTGAGGGCCGTGAGGGCGGTGAGTGCATGAGGGGTGTGAGGGCCATGAGTGCGTGAGGGGCGTGAGGACGGTGAGTGCGTGAGGCCCCCTTCAGACGGAGCATCTTTCTCAGCAATTTTGGTGTTGATGGCGGGTTGTTCTCTAGCTTTCCCTAGATCGACACAAATTTCTGAGATGGGGTCCGGCTCGAAATAATCAAGCAACTCGGAGAAATTCGAAGACGTTTGAAGCGGCTGCATCCAATCAGGGACGCAAAATATTTATGTGATACCTCGTGCCGAAGATGATGACACTGAAAGACTTGGTTCTGGTTTGAAATCGATCGTTTTTGGAAATAAACTGTTTCAGAAAGGTACATTAGTATTCTCAACGAGATTTAAATGCATAAAAACATGTTTATAACGCGTAATTGTGTCTAAATAGTGCAAGAAAAATAAAATTGCAAGATGGTGATGGCAAATTGCAGCAATTGGTTGCTGCTTGTGATCGCGGGCGGCCAGTGTTGTTGGTGCTGCGACGTCAAGTTTCTGGGCGAAATTGCCCCATCTGAAGCTGGCCTGAGTGGCACGAGGGCGGTGAGTGCGTGAGGGGCGTGAGGACCATGAGTGTGTGAGGGGCGTGAGGGCCGTGAGGTTCAGTGAGGATGACTGAAGGGCTGAGGTGAGTGTGACTGTGTGGATGAAGATGAGTGAGGGGCTGAAGGTGAGTGTAGCTGTGAGGGTGAGGGTGAGTGAGGGGCTTAGGTGAGCGTGGCTGTGAGGGTGAGGGTGAGTAAGGGCGACCTAAAATGCCGACCTCTGCTGGCAGCTGAACTTGTCGCATGTCCGCCGCAAGCAACGCGGCTGGCGAAGCGAGCGAAGTCCTCTTGTTCTACGACCGACGCTTCTGCTTGCCGTACGCACGTTGCGTTGAAAGCTTCAAGCTAGGTATCGCGATCACTACCGATGTCTGCTAAGGACGACGAGCTAAACAAAGCAGGCGAGCGCCGAAAAATAACGTGCTTGAAGCCAAAACGCAACCGCTAGCAGACGACAAACAACGATGTCGGCTGCTCCCTACTCCTTCCGTGCTGCAAGGAAGGAGAGGAGGGAAAGGAGAATGACATATTTCAGGAGAGGAGGCATGCAATTCGGCCAATAGCGACAGCGCTCACTGCAGCCCGTGCTTCTTAGCTAATCGGTAGCTCGGTTTCTTTCTCCGGGAAAACGCGGTATTCTGTGCTTTCCCCGGGCGGACGCCATTGTTAATGGGGACAAAAATGTAGACAAAGAAGCAAGCTTTCGAATGAGACCAAAATGGCCGCGAACGGGCGTGCACCGGTGGAGCGTGGAGGGCACGCATTTCGACGTCAGTTTCCTCTTTCGAGGAGATTTTGGGCGCGTTCCGCGCGACATAATTATCATTTTTTTTATACTTTGAGTTTGAATTACGCTATAATATTTTGAAGAGAGGTGCTTGGATATGTAAGGCATCCAAATACAAAATTTTTGAAAAATTATTTTTTTCGCGATTTTTTTGCATTTTTAGGATTCGCGTCCCGTCCCCCCTTGAATGTACAAAACAACTGATCTTGAAGTGCAGAACAGCAAGCAGAACAAACATAACTACAAAGGAATCGCACGGCAAACGGACCCTGAACGCATTTCGTCTGCTGCACGCGAAAGAAAAAAAAAACAACGCACGGCCGGGTGTAGCCGCTCACTTTCTTCTCTCCACATCTCCGTGCAGTGCGAGAGTTTCGGTTTCGGTTTCGAGCAGTTGCGTTTTTTGGCTTTATTAAAAAAATATGCAACTCTGTAGCAAAATATTAATTGGGTAGTATTCCGACACAATAGTGAATCACTTGTCAAAAAATGAAAGAAAAAATTTTGGGGGGGTGTCAGTGTCCCTTTAAGTAGCGACTCCGGGTTGTGGTGCAAGAATTCAACTTCAAAAATGGTTTCCTCGCTTTTAACAAAAATTTTTGTATTTTTACTTGGACCACCCCAGGGTGAAGTAAACGGCTGTTTATGCATCAAAACACACTCTTTGGCAACTTCAGGATTTTTTTTTTTACTGTGAAATATTTAAATGAGTGGTTTAAACATTTTTTGTAGATTATATACCTGCAGGGCAACTGGTAAAAAATTCTATTAAGTCCCCAAAGCAATTGGGTATTTTTCAATAAAATAACAAAAATGCTAAAATTTAAAAAAAGATTGTAAAAAATGATTAATTAAACAAAACTGCACAAGCTTAACCACACTGCAAGTCGAAAGCCGTGCAGATTTAAGAAAAAATATTGTTGGGTGTTTCATAAGAAAGCTGATTTTTCATAAATTATAGAGTGATACCTAGTTTCACAAAATTTTTAAAAGTTAAAACCGCGTTCACGACATCAAAAATTTTTTCGTCAAAAATATTTTAGGGCATGGCTAAGGACAATACGGCAAAAGGCCATGAATTTCTTTTTAAAAATCTAAGGTGGTCGAACGCAATGTCTGGGACGTTCGACATGGAATGACCCTTTTATAACACATTCCATGTCAAAAATAGATCTGTTCTGGTAGCAACATGTATCAGAAGAAGTTTGTTAGCAGAGCACCTTTGCCAACCACAGAAATTCAAAAACATTCAAAACTACAAGAATGTGCCATTAATGTGTCATAAAAACACAGTCCCATCACCACAAATTAAAATTGAACTAGCAGAACTGACCATAGAAGAAATTGTTATTGTATTTCAGGATACACATTCTACAAAGCAGCATTTGCAGAACACACGTTTTTCAAATCCCAAATAATGTAAGATGTAGTGCCAAAAGTGATCATATGGATGACTTTCCTTGGACAAATTTTGCACAAGTGCACCTCAGGCACTGTGGAGCTTAAAATGTGAGGCATGAGCATACACACATCGCTATGGACTAGCATCAGTATTGATATTGCTATGAACTAGCATCAGTATTCACTGAAACACGAGCAATGACTGAAAAGTGTGAAACAAATGCTGCATTTGGTTTGATACTCACATGGTATTGACGCATAGTGCAGAAACAATGTGCTTTACGATCTTGGCCCGCAAAGTTCCAGACACTAGGCCTTCTTTTGTCTCCGCAATCTCTTGACAGATGTTGACCGGGAAGTCGTGGAACTTGTATCCTGAAGGTCCAGGGGTTGGCTCTATGAGTGCAGGGCCGGGATGAGATGCAGTGCTGTCGTGGCTAATCTCGTGACCAGGAACACTGCTGCCGAGAAAAGCATGCCCTCTTTAATTTGTCCACCATCTATCCGATATTCACATGAGACAATAAATTCGACCTAATATAACGTTAAAAGATACAGCTCAGTCCTACACGCATGTTACGTATGCATCATCGTCATCATCATCAACCTGTTTTATACCCACTGCAGGACAAAGGCCTTCCCTACAGAACTCCAACCATTTGCATCCTGCGAGACTCTGGTCCATTCTTTCAATCCAAATTTCCTTATTTCATCAATCCATCTAGTTTTTGGCCTGGCTTTACTTCTAATCCCGTCTCTTGGTACCCATTCTATCGTTCGAGCGGTTCACCTGTTGTCGCTCCTCCACTTTACATGTCCGGCCCACCTCCACTTCTTCCTCTTAATTTGAGCTAGGATGTCTTCTTCGGATTTGTTCCCTAATCCATGACGCTCATTTCCTATCCCTAAGTGTCACGTTACCATATTCGTTTTCAGTTTTCTTTCCAGGAGTTTAGTGAGGCCAATGTTTCGGCCCCATAAGATAGTACTGGAAGTATGCATTGGTTGCATGCTAGTCCTTTCAATGACAGCGGTAACCTGCTACTCATTATATCGCAGTGCTTCCTAAATGCCGAAGTCAACTGATTTTGCTTGCATTGCTTTTCCTTATTGCCCCCATGTCATATGTGCTACTGAAACCTGGTTGCACGACTCTATACTTGACTGCGAATTTACTCCCCCTAATTATGATATGGTACGTTGTGGTAGGTCGTCTGGAAAGGGTGGTGGTGTTGCATTATTTTTTAGGTCTGGTGTCCGCTTCACTGTACTTCTTTCCTTAGCAAATACAGAGTCACTATGGTGCAAGGTACATGACGATAAGTTTGTCCTTGTTATTGGAGCTATTTACAGAGCTCCTGGTTCTACCACTCAAGTGCTCTTGGATATCTATTACATATTGAAACATAACCTTAGAAACTACAAACTCTTCCTTACAGGAGATTTTAACTTGCCTGACACAAATTGGAGTATGCTGTGGGCAGCCGTGACAAACAGCTGTGTAATGCTCGTGTTGATATTACTATGTCGTTTGATCTCGATCAAGTGGTACATCAGTGTACTAGGGATAATTCAATTCTTGATCTCGTTTTCCCTCATAGCATTACTTTGTCTGGTTTCGAGTGTTCTGTAGCAAGGGGTCTATCAGATCACAGTGCTGTTTTTGTGACGCTTAGTATTCGTGCACTGCATGCAAATCCTGAAATTGCCTCCTTTCTGGACTTTTCTAGAGCAGATGATGTGTCTATTCTTGATTTCCTTAGTTTTTATTTTGATGAATTTGTTGCCCTAAGTAATGACTGTGACGTTGATGTGCTACTCAGCGAATTTTGCACGTTAGTCAGTGACTGCATTTTGAAGTTTGTTTCAGTCAAAATTAAAAAAAAATAATCTGACACATCCTTGGATAACTAAGGAAGTGTTACAGTTATCACGCCACGTTAAGAGGAGTAAGAAACTAAAGCATAGTGTTAACCCAGTGGACATAAACCGTTTTGAATGTTTGAGGAAAACTCTTGAAGAAAAGATGGCTGCCACAAAAGAGGTTTATTTTAATATAACACTGACTCAATTTATGAAGTCAAATCTAGCAAAGTTTTGGAAGTCCATCCTACGAAGAGATGAAACACCCCGTAATTTCATTATTCAGAACTGTGTTAATGACCCTTCTGATATTTCGAATAGCTTTAATGAATATGTTCCGTCTGTTTTTACTCTGGATAACGGCTGCGAACCTAGTTTTTGTCCCACTATATCATGTCCATCGTTAACAGACATTCAGGTTAATGACTCTGGTGTACTTATTTTGTTCCTGAACCTCGACTGTAAAAAGAGTTCAGGCCCGGATGATATTCCAAATTCTTTTCTGTATCATCACTTCGTCTGGAGATCAAAAGTGCGACAGGACAACGGACACAGAAGGAGACACAGACACAGCGCTGTGTCTGTGTCTCCTTCTGTGTCCGTTGTCCTGTCGCGCTTTTTAATCATTATGAATCACCAACTCGCCCAACTTTCTACCTTCGCGAGATATTAAACTACAATTTTCCAAAAGTCTCTTTCATCCGGAATTGTTCCTCGACTTTGGAAATCAGTAAGAATAGTTCCCATTTCCAAATCCGGTAATAAGCAGTCTTCTAAATTATAGACCAATTTCTCTTACATCCTCTTGCAGCAAACTCCTCGAACACATAGTGCGTAAGCCTATCTCCGATTATCTTGAAAATAATTCTTTACTCTGTCCTCACCAACACGGTTTTCGTCGTCTTTCCTCAACCACTACGCAGCTTCTGGAATTTACTCATTACATTGCTTCATCATTAGATAAAAGAGGGCAAGTTGACGCTATTTTTATTGACTATTCGAAGGCGTTTGATAAAGTGTAACACCCTAAGCTTCTTTTAAAGTTAAAAGTCCTTCTTAAAAACTCCCTTCTGCTTGACTGGATTTCAGATTATTTAAACTGCAGGTCGCAGTTTGTTTCCTTTGCGAATGCCTTCTCTTCGGAAGTTTCGGTTAGCTCAGGTGTACCTCAAGGTTCGGTGTTAGGGCCTCTTTTATTCATTTTATATTGTCACGCGCAGGGTCATGGACTTGTAGAAAGTTCTCATTTAGTCTTTCTGCGGACATAACTTCTATTGTTTATGCCTGCTTTTGTTGTTCTAGAAAGTGCTTGTTCATTCTCGCCTGAGTGTGCTACGCTCGAACCTTCTCCGCCGAATCTTCGAGATAGTGACTCACTCTAGATAAGAGGCCGCCCACGACCTTGTCGAGTCAGTCTCGCCCCCGTAGTGGGAGGCCCATGCGTGAGGTTCACGTTCGATGTTGGTGGCCTCAGTGATGAAACCTTGGACAGTGGTAGGCGGGCTCCGCACGAGGCCCCCGAAGGTGTTTTCTTTCACGCCCCACATTAGGATCTTCAGCTTCCGCGCCGTTGCTTCCAAGGCAGGGTTCAGGGCCCTAATGAGAGCGTCGTTAGCTTTGTCGAAGATGTTCTTCGACTGAGCAGCCGCGCAGATCCTGACGCCCGAGAAGAAAAGAAGCTGAGGACCCTAATGCGGGGCGTGAGAGAAAACATCTTCGGGGGCCTCGTGCGGAGCCCGCCTACCACTGTCCAAGGTTTCATCACTGAGGCCACCAACATCGAACGTGCTCTTCTTGCACGGGCCTCGCACTACCGGGGCGAGACTGACTCGACAAGGTCGCGGCGGCCTCTTATCTAAAGTGAGTCACTATCTCGAAGATTCGGCGGAGAAGGTTCAAGCGTAGCGCGCTCGGGCGAGAATGAACAAGCACTTTCTTTCTACAGGGTGAAACAAGGAGACGGCAGGCTCTTTAAATCGACCGGAAAATTCGGTTTCTTAACCTATCGCGCTACGACTTTGTGCAGCGTTGCCCACAGATGGTGCATTGTTTTCGTAAAATTTGCAAAGAGCGAACTTACCTGAGAAAAAAGTAAAGAAAGAAAAAGGCTTAGCTCCTATGGAAACGCAGCGACGGCTCCGCTCTGCAAACAGCACGGCGCCATTTCGCACGGGAGACAAGAGATGGCGCAAGCGGTCGCGAAGCCAACTGCAGCCAACGTACGAGCAGACGACGCCGAGAGCCGGCCCTTTAGCAGACAAGGAACTGCAGTTCCTTGCTGTTACCTCGCCTGTCTTTTTTGTTTCTGCGATTGTCGCCGCCTGCGGAACGCGGGCCGCTTTTGAGTCGAAAGGATCGTCTGCTAAAATAACGGCTTTCGGCGCCGTATGCTCGTTCGTTGGCGGCGTTCGTTGCGCCATCTCTTATCTCCCGTGCGAAACGGCGCCACGTTGTTTGCAGACCGGTGGCGTCGCTGAGTTTCCATAGGAGCTAAGCCTTTTTCTTTCTTTACTTTTTCCTCAGGTAAGCTCGCTCTTCGCAAATTTTACAAAAAAAATGCACCATCTGTGGGCAACGCTGCACAAAGTCGTAGCGCGATAGGTTAAGAAACCGAATTTCCCGGTCGATTTAAAGAGCCTGCCGTCTCCTTGTTTCACCCTGTAGAACAACAGAAGCAGGCATAAACAATAGAAGTTATGTCCGCAGAAAGAATAAACGAGAACTTTCTACAAGTCCGTGCCCCGGCACGCGGCAATATATAAATGATGTTGTAGAAAACATACCCGTTAAAATTTGTCTTTATGCAGATGACTGCATTCTGTACAATGACATTTCGTCTCCTAATGATCAACTGCTACTTAACGAATCCTTTATCCGTGTTTTAATTGGAGCAAGAAAAAGCAAATGGATATTACCTTTGATAAGACTGTGTTTATGAGATTTACGAATAAGAGATCCCCTTTAGTTTTTAGCTATGGCATTGATGATGTCATTTTAAATGAAGTTACGGAGTTCAAATATTTAGGTGTTTTCTTCACATCCAACCTCAAGTGGGACAAGAACGTCAACTTCATTTGTTCTCACACCCTTAAAAAATAAGGTTATGTTAAAGGACACATGCAAAGGAAAAAAAACATTTTTTTTAAACGGCTTAGATGGAAAAAGGACGCCATAAAACGATTTTACAACGAAGAAAAAAAAATTTAGAGCTATATTTACGGCGCAAAACGAATTTGTAGTTGGCGCCCGCGGGCACCGCGGAAAAGTGGTTCGTATTTATCACGTGACTGGTCCTTATTTATCACGCGGTGCTTGCATTCTTTCGGAAGCTTCCTATGGCCTCTAAAAGTAACTTATTCATCTTTGTTAGAAGTATAACAAGAAACTAAGATGAATAGTAACTTTTAGAGCCCAAAGGAAACTCCTGAAAAAGCGCAAGCAGACGTGATAGACCTGTGCGCCGGTCGAACGACGGCGGCGGCGCCCCAAAGCAGACGAACTTGTGCGGCGGCGGCGACGGCGGTGTGGAGAAACGCATTGAAGTGGCGTTTGCACAACGCTCAGCGTGCGGCGGCGACGCAGCGCGGCGGCGCGCGGGCCTACCACGTGACCAGCGGCGGCTCCCGTGAGCGCCAACTACAAATTCGTATAGCGCCGTAAATATAGCTCTAAAAATGTTTTTTCTTCGTTATAAAATCGTTTTATGACATCCTTTTTCCATCTAAGCTGTCTAAACAAAATGTTTTTTTCCTTTGCATGTCTCCTTTAAACACACCCTTAAATACTCTACTAAAGAGGTTTAATTCGCTGCTTGTAAGACCCTTGTTAGGCCCATCTTGGAATATGGATGTGTTGTTTGGGATCTTTATTTTAAGAAAGACATTAATCTCCTTGAGTCTATCCAGGCCAAGGCTGAAAGGTCTATTTTGAATAGGTATGACCGTAATTTTTTGCCCTCCTCGGCTGTTTTATTTCTGGGGCTGGAGCCTTTGTCTAGAAGGCGAACAGTTGATCAAATTAAAATGTTGCACAGAATTGTTAATGAGGAATGTGGAATAGAGCAAAGTAAATATATTTGATTCTCTACTTGTACACGTACCAGACGATCTCATTCATTTAATATTGTTCCTTTTCAGTCTCATACCCTTAAGTCTTAAAGGGATAATACAACGAAATTTCGGCGCTCATTTTTTGGTCTATATGTGTTCAAAAAAGCAGCATCAAATCGAACATACCAAAATCTTGTTAAAAAAGTCACGAAAAGGAATTTTAAAACCAATTAAACGATTAGCAAAGAGCACCTGGTGGATGCTGCTAACGCCTCGCTTGTAATGCCCGTCTAGGAACCTTGACATCTAGTGACGGAGGTTGTCTCGTCTCCGGCTACGGCGAGAGAAGAGGGGCAGGAGGAACTCCCCTCTTCGCGAGAATGCCTTTTGTGTGTCGCAGAAGTCGCTATTGTCCCCCTACAAGATTACAGAAGATTAACCCGTCACTCAAAATTCGTACAAAAGCAGCCGCTTCGTGGAACGACTAGGCCATCCTCTCGACATCAGCCTTGCCGCAGCTTTGCTCGTCTTGAGACGACCTACGTCACGATTGCGTTGGATGTCATGTGGTCTCCGCTGGGCCTTCTCCGAGCGCTTGCCAGAGTGGGCCATTTATAACGAGAAATACAGCAACCAGGCTCAAAATACAAACGCGCGATTGTCATTTACGGATATTGTAGATCATATTCAACCTATTTTTGAACACGACGGAAATATTTAAAATTTCGTTGAAGTATCCCTTTAATGTGGATACGCAATTTTCTTGACTCGCGAATGCAATACACAGTCTTATATGGGTATGTATCTGATTTAATTAATGTCACGTCTGGCATGCCCCAGGGCACAGACCTTGGGCCTCTTCTTTTTCTAATATTCATTAATGACCTTCCAAATTCTATTTCTTCTCACAAACATATTTTTGCAGACGACTGTGTTCTATATCGCGAGATCACTTTATCTAATGACCGCAAACTCATCCAAAAGGATCTAGATAATGTCTCTCAGTGGTGTAACAACTGGTTGACGCCACTAAATAAATCTAAATGCAAATTAATCCACTTTTCTCGTAAAACAGTCCCTTCCTCCTTCCAGTATGTGCTGGGCCACGAGATCATTGAAGAAGTCGATAGGCATAAATATCTCGGTGTCGTACTAACTTCCGATGTGACATGCATTAATCACATTAAAACAATTTCTTTGGACGCAGCACGGACCCTTGGTTACATCCGCGTTGCCTGAATGCTGCTCTTTCAAAGCTTAGGAAACTTGCATATGAAACCTTCACTTAACCAAAATTACAATATGCTTCTACAATATGGAATCCGCACCAAAATGACTTCTTCAGCCAACCTGAAGCAATTCAAAACCGGGCAACCTGCTACCTTTTATCAAACTATGACTATAAAAACAGTGTCTCTGCTATGAAAACGAGCCTAAATTTATCAACTCTGGAGGTATGCCGCAAGGTTACACGCCTTTACTCACTCCATAAACTTTAACACAATCATCCCAGTGTTCGAATCTCATTCCTGCGCACTCCCACACGATCGTCTCGTCGCCTCAATAACTCCTACAATTTTCAATGTTTATCGGGTTCTTTTAACAAATCATTTCTCCCACTCACAATTGTGAACTGGAACAATGTTCCAGAATCGCTCATTACAATAATTGACCCTGTGGTTTTCAAAAGCTCCATCATGTTGTATTTTTCAAAACCAAATTAGGTATTTCTAGCTGCGTTGCATGAGTGTGCCTTGTTATGTATTTTTTATGTTGTTGTTTTTTCATTTCTTGTACAATTTCTTGCGTCGCCCCCTCCTTATGTAATGCCCTCGAAAGAGGACCCTCAAGGATTAATAAATGAAATGAAATGAAACCATACTAACTGCTTTAAATATTTGTTTTTTCCACATAGTACTGAAATTTGGTGGGAAAATACGTACTCTTCCCTACGCTGATTTTATTAGCGCGGTTTTGCCTATTCTTTTCAGTAACGCATGACGTCATCGTTTTCATTTCTGTTATGTTTAAGGGCATGTTGTATTGTTTGAATGTTAATTTGTTTCTGTATTTATTCCACTCCTGCGATGACCTCACAGAGGTCGCAATATGTGTAAATAAAAATATAAATAAAATGCGCTCCACCCCACACTAATTCTACGCCTGATCTTTCTCGTGATCGTGATCCGCCGTTATAATCTGTCTGAGAGAATTATATCCATCCATATGTTTGAGTATTTCGTCGCCTAGTCTGAAGGCCTGCCCGACGGTTTGACATTATTTCAGATTTCTTCATGTTTATCTTTAAATCAATGACAGAGCTCTCCCTTTGCAGATCCTGAATCATTCGTTGCAGGTCCTTCCCAAACTAACTTATGAGGACAATGTCATCCACAAATCTAAGGTTGCTCAAATATTTCCCATGTACTCGTATCCTTAATTTGTCCCCATCAAGTTTCCTAGACACTCCTTCTTGGCAGGCTGTGAATAATTTCGGATATATTGTGTCACCCAGCCTCACGCCCTTTTCGGTAGGGAACTTCTCGGTCTTTTTATCGGGGATTACTGTTCCCGTACACTCATTATACCGTAAAATTCCGAGAGATGCCCCACCCCCGAAAGATAGCTCACCCCTATTTTTGGCTTGATTTGCTATTTTTTTAAACACCGAAAGATACCCGACTCCTAGCAATAGTAGTAGTGGGATCAATGATGACCTGGACGTAAATGCGGCTAGTTAGCTATGGCGGAATATAAGCAAACGTTGCTAGCTGGAAAGTACAGTCATCTTTGCTTTGTTGCCCCTAGCCACCATAACAAGCTTGAAAGGAACATGGCCTAAAAATAGTAATGTTTTAAAATTTTCTTCATTGCACACCAAAAGTTAGGCCACTCCACATTTTCACCTGATTTGCTCTTGATGATAGGTGGGTTATCTCTCAGGATTTTACGGTATATATATCTTCCAATAGCACTGTGTAAGTATCCTCAACTTCCTGGTACCTCATTGCTTCTACGACTGTGGCAGTTTCAACTGAATCAAACGCTTTTTTGTTATCTAAGAATGCCATGTAAAGGAGTTCATTATATTCTGCTGATTTTTCAATTATCTGGTTGACTATATGAATGTGGTGGATTGTTGAGCAACCTTTCCAAAATCCAGCCTGTTCCCTTGGTTGATTGAAGTCTAGGGTATCACTTATGCGGTTAAGGATTACTTTAGTGAACAACTTGTACACTACAGACAGGAGACCTATGGGTACATAGTTCCTTAGTTCTTTAACATCTCCCTTCTTGTGGATCACAATCATGTTTGCATTTTTTCAAGCCTGCGGTACCTTGGAGGTTCCGAGGCATTCCAAGAACAACATGCATAAAGTATATAAAAATAGTTATTTCTTTTTTCTTTTGCTTATAATTTTGAAACTGAAACAGTCCACACACTCACTACAACAAAAACACAGATCAATTATCCAAGGATTAAATGTTTGGAAATATACTAACGTTTGTAAGGGTTGTTCAGCCGTAACTTCCTGGAATGGGTTTTCGACCGGTCGTAGCACATCCCCATCCGCAACGATGGCTGTCTCATTAGTATCAGAAAACTCTTTAAGTATGTTGTCCTTCACCTGCAACCAGATTATAAACATGTGACCCAGCTCAACTGTTCACAAACATCCAAGCTTAAATACAATGACTCAGGTGATCGGCCTTCATTCATTTTTCCCACAAAATGAACAACCGAGCCTCATAGGCATATGGATGCACGCGCCCGAGTCAGTGGCGTAGCCAGGAATTCTTTTTAGCGGTGGTGGGGGAGGGGCTGAGGTGGCTGGGACGTCCATGACTTGGGGTGCAGAGAGAAGGGGGGTCGTCAAAATGCATGTGTATATTAAAAAGTTGGCTGGATTTTTTTTTGGGGGGGCGGGGGAAGGGAAGGGGGTAGTTTCATATTCCCTCTCCCTCCCCCGGTCTCCTGGCTACGCAACTGGCCCGAGTTCACTCAATGAACAATATCTTAAAATGATGTGGAAAACAAAGATCAAGCATGCAATCAAAATACAAAATAATTTTCTTTTTTATTTCAAAACACTATTTTATCATTACTTACACTGGTCCTTGGCCAATCCCCTCTTTTTGTACGCAAAAACTTCAAGGTACAACAACTATAAGACTGCAAGGTTTTGAGCAGAAAACAAAAAAAAAAAACAAAAAAAAATGTGGGAGGCAGTAAAAATACTACATGTGAAAAATAATGGTATTGTGGGGTAGCAAAAGAAACGGGCAGTAAAGTCAACAGTAGGAATGACAAGAGACCTGAACACAAGATGACTATGCATGATGTCTTTGGGACTTTTAACAGGAAAAGAACATATGGGGTGAGAGACATCATACATATATTAAAAATGTACAAAAATGTTATTTAATATCAAAATCTAAAAAAAAAAAAAAATTGGTCACGGAAGACATTAGGGAATGAGCAAGGGCACATTCTCAAATGAGATATGAAGCCGGTCGTCAGAATAGGCCATAGCAGAACATACTGTTCTACGCGATTCAGTGATGAAGAATTCTTCGCAGATTGTTTGCAAGAGCTTTGCTACGCTAGCGGGAGCTCGTGCCGTCACGTTGAACCCGGATTGAGCATGCGCCCGCTACGCCCACAATCCGCAGCTACACTCGGAGGGGTCGCCCAGCGTGATCCGATTACTACAACCCGCCACAATCCCTCCCTTCTGAGCCTTCGGAGTAGGGCTTTGGTTCCCCTTGCCCGAATTATCGACCGGAGCTTCGCCAATTATGTGTAAAGAAAGTACAGACCTGTATGAGGATGGTGTCGACGAGGTTTTTAAAAAAGGGGCTGGTAAGAAGTGCCGCCCTCACATCAGACGCCGTTTTCTCGCCGTCCACAATGAGCCTTTTACAGGACTCCTTGTATTTAACTACACAGCTGACACTCATGCTTTTCTGGGGCACAGGTAACAATGCTGAAGTGTGCAATAACAGTTAGCGTGCAAATTCAATGCGGTTTTGCTCAAACAAGCACACGGTGCATGCACGCGCACATGCTCCCCAGAAATGGTAAAACCCGCGACAAAAGCAAAAAGGACAACCGCACTACTTTTTATCTGTCTCGGGTTTTAGTATGTGCCTACCAAGGTTGCCTGTACTCTTAGGCAATGTTTGTTTTCTGCGAGTTCAGGCGAACTGAGCCACATGCCTGTTTCTACCGGTTAAAATTTGAATAAATGGTAACCAACGCGAAAAGAAACAAAGTTTCAAGTACTTTTTGAGATTTTTGAAGTGACTTTTACTATTGAATGACTGCATTCACTTGAATGTTCAATTCAAAAGTTAATAAAACGTGACTAGTACATCATTGTCACCTGCCAACAGGGTGGGAACGCTCAAATGCTCAAGCCCAATGGGTAGTTAAGTAAGCCTGTAGGGTAGTTACACCCATCATAACCCATGATGACTAGGGGGGCGGTGTGACTTCCAGCGTCCCCACTCCTTTTCTAGATATAAAAGTTCTTTATCTAACAAAGCCACAGAAGGCTCCCTGATGCACTTATCAGCCCCTCTTGTTTTGATAATGAAGGCTTCCTGAATTTCTCTGCTTGTTTTTTCACTGTGTCATCCCAAAACAGTTGTGTTTGACAACAACGGACTGCCTGGTCATCGATCCCTATGCACAGCCAAATGCTCTCATGCTGTCTGATAGTTGCAGTGTGCTCTCTCCCACAATCACTTATGCAGTGGCCTGTTTATGCAGCGGTGCTCTTATGTGGGGCAAACGGGCCGCTGCATAAATGATCGTGCGAGAGAGCACGCGACAACTATCAAACAGACGCCATCAGGGCATTTAGCTGTGCATTGTGCAGGCACGTAGCCAAGAGGGGGGGGGGGGCCATGAAGCCCCCCCCTCCCCCCCAAAATCTTCCATTTTGCTGGGGCCCCCTCTCCTTCCTCCCCCTCATATAGCAGTTTCATAGACGGGCCCCCCCGAAACAAAATCCTGGCTACGTGCCTGGCGTTGTGATTGATGCTTGTGTTGCTTGTTGTTGTCAAACACAACCAATTTGGGATGACACAGCGAAAAAACACTCATCATCAAAACAAAAGGGGCTGATAAGTGCTTCAGCGAGGCTTCTGTGGCTTTGTTAGATAAGGAACTTTTATATTTAAAAAAAGAGAGGGGGACGGCTGGAAGTGGCACGGTTTTTTTTTAGGAATTAAGTATGTGTTCTTTATAAATTTTCGGTGGCGAGCGCACCCCGTGTTGTCGTCACCTTCTTCAATTATCCCTATCTCTTTGGCACTTTTTTCCACGCAATGGATCTGTCTCCACACATGCAATGAGCAAAAGACACAAAATAACAGGTGTCCTGGATCCCATACAGGTTCCTAAATAAGGCCTCTAGGGGCCACAATCTTGCTGCTGGTGTGTGTAGGTCGTTGAAGCCTAGTTAAGGCGTGCCCATGGGGTAGATTGGAGACTAGTTTGTGAAACGCGAGTGCTAACATCTTAAAGCGTTCCTACATACGTACCATGTTGTCCTGTTTCTTGCGTCGAAACTGGCACTGTGGAGGGTGCTGCTGTGGGGGGTGTTGCTTTGGTGAGTGTTCTTCTAGGAGATATTCTTGTGGGGGGTGCTCAGGTGAGCGATAGTCTTGTGGAGGGTCTTGTGGCACGTCTTCTAGCTCCTCTGGCTCTTGTGGCACGCCTTCTGGCTCCTGTCGCAGTGGCATGTCATTTGGTCTGTCTGGTTGTGGCTCGTCTCGCAGCTCCGGATCTTTGTTGAATCTGACCACTTGGCTGCTAAAGATGTTCGGCAAGACCAAAAAACTTACTCACACGCGAGCGGTTTTTGCACAAAAGTGTACTGTGAAAGCTCCTGCAGGTTGCATTAGGGTGCAAGAAACACTGATAATAAGCGATTCTACTCCATCTGAAAGAGTTCCGAGACAATGTTTGGTGCAGACCAGGCACACTGGCCTATTCATGGTCCACGTGTGTGACTGTGTGTACAAGAGGAATACCAGGCTGGCGAAATTGAACCGAGCCTCACATTGGCACTCCCGGTACTTCTGCATGTAAATAGAGTTCAAGCATGTACCAAATACTACCTGGAAGTGCTTTTCCTGCAGGAGCAAGGTGGTATAGCCTAAACATATTTTTTACGCTGTGGGCCTGCAGAATGAGTCCTTAAAGACTGATGAACAAGCAGAAAGAAGGAAATTGCCTATCGATTTCGCCTTTCCATCTTAGAAAGGAGAAAAGTCATTCTCCCCTCCGAGTGCATGAGCTTTCACATCCGTTTTCAAGGCAGGAATCACACAAAGAAATTACCTTTCTGTACCAGTGCCTGGCTCATTTAGTATTATGATGCCATTTCCATTAAAATTGATGTCCTCTCCCTGGGCAATGCAGAGGGTCTGGAAAGGTGCGGCTGCCTTCAGTATCTTTTCAGCCCGCTCCAGGTATTCCTCTGCAGCTGTCATAAAAGAAAAAGAAAGAAAAGCTTTTCTGAACAAGTATAAAGAAAGTCAATATACATCATGTTTACTTAAAGCCCGACGCGCATGGATGACCTTCTACCGGGACGAAGACCCTTTCCCAATGTCCTTTGCTCCATTCCTCCTCCTGCTCTTCCCCCCACCCCCTCCCTCTCCCGAGCAGCAGGTGTGGAAGGTAACCTCTGCCGAGAAGAGGAGGGCTCTCCCTCTCTTTTGGGTGGAAAGGAGAAATCGAAAGGACACCCTGCTCTGCTTGTTGGTTGGCCTTTAAAACTGCTTTTCATTGAAAGTACCTTTCACTATAAGAAGTATCCATCATACTTAGGTAAATTACTTTGTAAAAGTATTTGAATTATAATTACAACTACTCCGCTCCAAAAGTAGTTAATAAGAATTAGAATTGCTACTGTGCAAAAACTAATTTCTTACATTTACGAACTACTTTGAGAAAGTAATGCAATAACTTCACAACTAGTTTCCTTTGAGCTACGCGACTTCAACTGACAGCATTTTTTGCTCCAAAATTCTCCCCCTTCCCAATCTATGACCTTTGCCATGGGCAAGGCCCCACTCCCCCTGAAACAAAATCCTGACTATGTGCCTGGTCCGGTATAACGTTGTACATGAATTCTGGGCCTATGTATAATCGGATTTACCTAGTCAAGTAATACTTGACATGTTCAGTTCAAAAAAGTTATTCAGTAAAAATAAAACCAAGAGCTTTCACGGATTCAGCAGCCTCTAAATGAGATCAGCTGAGCAAAATATTCAAAGGCAATGAAATTTTACAATTCCGTGGCCTAACAGCACACATTTAGTTTTGTCTGTATTTATTTTTAGACCACTAACCTGTGCCCATAAATGCAGGTTTGCAAGAGCAAATACCGCCATGCTTTCAATCTCAGATGTTTTGGCCTTTAATAAATAAAGTGCCATTGTCTGCATAAGAAATACACTTAAAGGTGCACTAAAGACGTTTCTGAGATTGTCTGTTCTTGATGAAAACTCAATCTATGAGCTCTAAGCGTCCTAAAAATTCAAAAATTACGCTCACGCGACGCTGCTTTCCCTGCTAAAAATGTGATCTACGATTCAAACACGCCCTTTCCCTAGCGGAACTTCCCGCTCAGAAAAAGCGGGGCATAATCCAGCCGGGGCAGCGGCGATGCGACGACACTGCTCGTCAGCCAACCGTGAGCCACCGTTCCAATAGCGGACGACGGGGTATCATCTGCTACGGGACCGGTGGCTTACGGTTGGCTGACGAGCAGTTTCGTCATGCTGCCGCCGCCTCGGCTGGATTATGCCCCGCCTTTTCTGAGCGGGAACTTCCGTTAGGGAAGGGGCGTGTCCCAATCGTAGATCATATTTTTAGCAGGGAAAGAAGCGTCGCGCAAGAGTAATTTTTTATTTTTGTTTTAGGATGTCTAGAGCTTGTAGAATGAGTTATCACCCAGAACAGACAGTCTCAGAAACACCTTTAAGAGTCCTATACCATTTATGAATATTACAAACAACATGGTTCAAACAGGCTCCCTTGGGGGACTCCCGTCACATTTCTGTTGACGATTCTATTATAAATATGATTCATAGTTTTAGTGCAGAGCCACGTATGCCCTCGTGTTCTAACTTTTCAAAACAGTATATTGATTAATTAGATCAAATGTCTTAGACAAATCAACGTACAGACCCAGAATAACTTTTATCTTTTCCTTCCTATGACTCGAAGAATCAAACTCACTATTTCAGTATTATAGTATCCTGAGCATATTTTGATTTCCCCCTTTGCCCCTCCATTCTGATAATATGGTGTACCCGAATGATGTCAGATACTGTCTAAAATTTAGTCGCTACAAGAGCGGCCACTAAAAGCAAGGGCGATATCTAATTGGCAAGTTTGCTTTCCCTTCCCTTAATTTCACAAAGATCAGGAATGTGTGTGTGAAAACGTTGGCTCACTGGCCTAATTAAGATAGAAACATGAAGCAGTCGCACTGCTGGGGACCTCTTTTTGAGATCTTTCGCAGCAGGTTGCTCGATGTTGTGTGGTCGATTAGCTTGTGAATAGACCCTAAAGACGGCTTGCTTGCGCTTTTTGGAGGCCATGTTCTGGGTGCCCATTATGTACTTTGACAGTTAAGCTGTGTTTACATAATCAATACCCAGGCAGTCTTTGCGCTTTTAATGCCCCACAAGCTGATAGAGGGGAGAGAGAAGGGGGGGGGGGGGGGGGGGGGGGCAGAAAAGGAAATACACTGAGGTTATCCTAGGTTAATTTTCCCCGTTGGCTACTGCTTGGACAACCAGGCAGATAACCAATGCTGTTTGTCCTGTCAGTGACTAAATAGAGCTGAGTTAAAGTTGGACGAAATCATGCAAACAGTAGTTGTAATATTAATTCCATATTTTGCAATTACTAGTACAATAAGTAATTAGACTACAATTACAATTAAGTTACAAATTACTCAAAAAAGTAATTAGATTACAGTAATTCAATGACTGTAATAAATTACTACCCGACTATGGTACCCATGTTTCTATACCTACTTTTATTGCCAGCAGAGACCAATCACTCAAAGCAAAAGGAGCCCAGTGGATGAGTAGACAGATATTCAGGGTGCACCAAATAACTTGTTCCAAAGTAAAAAAAATAAAAAATAAAGTGCTCTGCGGAAGTGAAACCAACTGCATGTTGTCAGCAAATGTCTTGCGAGAGTGCCCGGATTTTTTTAGCGAGCCTAATTATTTAATTAATTAAGACTAATTAGCCAACTTTTTCAATATTTGTTTAAGGGCTGAGGTGCGAATTGGAAAGTTTTAGAGAACATTGAGAAACACCCATATAAGGTATTTGCAGCATGATATGCTTGGCATGCCAATTTTTCCCAGCCTTCAAAGAATATGACAAAGGGAGCGCATTGCCGTGTAGTATTTTGCGTATTTTGCAGGCATTTTTCGAAGGCTGAAAAAAAAAAGCATGCAAAGCATATTATGTAGAAAATACTTCAATTGGGTGTTTCTCAATGTACTCTACAAGTTTCCGGTTCACACCTTGGTCCTTAAACGAATATTTAAAAAGTTAGCTAATTAGCCTTACTAAATTAAATCACTAGGTGCAATGAAAAACGCCTGTGCATTTTCGCAAGACGCTTGCTAACATCATAGATTTGTCTTCACTCCCGCAGAGTGCTCCATCTTTCTTTTCTTTTTTTAAGCTTACGCAATCTGCACTGGAAGGAGAGCATGACGTTTACACATTCAGATTCTCAGTGAAGATCTTATTTTTGGACCCTAACATAATAAGTACATTGTCATTTCCCTGGGCTTCCTCATAAATTGCAATAATTGGCATTCTGTGGAAACTGCAGGAAAGTACGCAGGGCGAACACTGTTAGTACGAGCAAGCAATCGCTAGTTTTTGCTGTTTTTTCTCTTAGATTTTAAAAGTTGTCATGAAAATTACTTTTGTCCTGCCGAGTGCCCATTTAGGGCATCGGCCTAAGCAGTTGAATTTTATGCTCGTCAACACCATACTTGAGAAAAATGCGATAAAGCGCCAATGTTGTGTTCACGCTAACTGTATCCTGCTGTGTACAAGCACATCCTTTAGTTATGGCAGTGCTTTTCACTTACTTAACAAACAGTTGTATTAATTGATGACACTGTCACATGAGAAGAATGTCCAAAAGATTAATATATTACACTGAATTTTAACTATCCTCATTTGAGCACTTTCCGTGCACAACACAAAAGGCTTTAAAGGAGCACTAAAGAGGTTTTTGAAGACGCTTCTTTTTGCTGTTATATAGTAGCAGGTGCCAGTTAGTATGTATATGATGTTTCAGATGTCAAAACCGCTTATTGAACCCGTGACGATAGAAATAGATGTGGACCATGCTTTCTCCTCGCGTTCCTTCCGCGAAAGTGATGTGCCCGCTCGTCTGCCCCTCTGAGTATTTGCGTCGACACTTGTAAAAGACGTTTTCTTTCTCAATGCCACGGGTCCCGTGTGCAAATTATTACCGCACATGGAATGCGATTACATTTTGTAGTATTTCTATCTCTTAGGATGAGATATTATGCAGCATAAAAGAGAAAATCGGAGAAGCAGTGTGCGTGCGGTTCAATCCGCATGCGCATCGACTTCAGTTCCCACTCGGATCAAAGTGCCGGGGGCGCCAGCACTCGCGATTCGCAGACGAGCATCTTCGTTGCTCGGTTTTGTTTGAATGCACTCACTGCACCCTGCAGTGTTCTGCGATATATCGCAGGAGAGGGGAGTGTTGCACACTTTTGGACACATGTTTAAGGGAAATAGGCTGTGCATGGCTGTTATCGCAGGAAAGGAAAGTGCTGCACACTTTTGGGCACATGTTTAATAAGGAAATAGGCTGTGCATGGCTGTTAATTCTGGATTTTTAGTATACTTACATCACATAGAATGATTTATCACCCTGAATACACAATATCAGAAACCTCTTTAATACCCTTTAAGCTGTTTATGGCAACTATAAAAAAAAAAGTATGATCACGATTAGTATATTATTATAAGGAAACAGCTGGCACTGTGGAGCAGACTCCTTAGATATACTACGGCAGTCTTGCAAGCATCAAGGTCAACCAAAAGTTAAATAAAAATTCATGAACAATTCACATACTTCTCCGTTTCCTCAACTCCCTCTTCAGTTGTTTGTTTTCTTTCCTTAAAACCAGAATTTCCAACTTAAGCGCATCAATAGTGCCTTCGTCCATAATCTCTTTAAAAAGATCTTGGGCCTGCATTACATGGACAGAGGGGGTCCTTTTTCGATGCACCTGAAATGTAATAGAACACAGTTCAAGGCAGGGGATGCAGATGTTTAAATATGCCCAGAAACAATGAAATAAAATTAATTATTTTGCGTTTAAATATTGAAGCAACAACTGTGTTGTGCAAGTGGCAGATAGAGCAAAGATAACTTTAATTTCTTGATATATAGAAATGACATGGCCTAGATCGACGACCAGCTATAAATCTCACGTTTGCATTGTTAATGTGCCAGCTAAGATGAATATTTAAAAAGACAACTAAGAACCATCAGGTCAGGGTCTGTCGTGGTCAATAAAAAAGATAAATTTGGAAGTTTACGTGCCGAACCAACGAAGTGCATCTGGCACGCCCGAGCGGATAGCTAGGGATTAATTTAGACATCTGAAGATTTTTTGGAGTTTACTACGGTTGATCGAATGCCATTTCATCGAAGCACGTTTTAGAGAATGGGCACGTTTTATCAAAGCACGGTTTAGAGAAAGTAGAGCTTGTTTAGAGAAATGACGTTTACCGAATGTAGTGTCAACGTATCTTCCATGAACAGCGTTTCAGTTGGCTTCACGAGCGGTAGCATGTTTTCCTCTGTCATTTTATGGGGAGGAGAAATGTAGTGTTGCAAGCAAGCGCCATCTACGGGAGTTAACGGTAGGCGTTGCCTTTTACTTCAACGCAGCATTAGATGGCGCTGTGCTCTCGGCACGAGGGATTTCACCTTAGCACGCGCAGATCTCACCGCCTATCGGAATCGTGACAGCCAAGATAGAGTTGTGATTGGGCGTGCCTTAAAGAACATTGTTGAGTGTGTGAATAAATGGGGCGGCTCAAGGAGCTTGCTTTGAAAATTGGCCTGAACGTTACCTCGACTACATGTGTCTCTGATCCGACCAAGTACCGGAGTCGGAACCACCGGCCCGGCTCACGTCATTGAACGCCGTTGGGCAACTCGGCGAGTAGCGCCCTTGCCGGCCACCCTCGTCCTTGACATGTAGCTCAGCACGGCACAGCGCAGAGCGTCAGTCGCATAGGAGACAGGCGGCGTTATGTCCAGACCAAGGGGATCAGTGTATGTAACCCCCCTAAAACATAACACCGAAAAGGGGACGCTTCTTAAAAAAAGGCTTTCCTACTTCTCGCGTGTATCACTGGTGCGCGTGTTAAGCCATGCTCCTGCCACTTCGCGGCGGCAGTCTGCGGCGGCTCATTACAAATATATTAATTCACCTGATTTACCTGTATACGCCACTTCGCGGCGGCCGAATTCGCTAAAAGGAGACTCATCGCCATTTTCTCTAAACTGGGTTCTCTATAAAGGCATTCGATAAACCGCGGTCAGTAAAACGGTGTTCGCTAAAATGAACATCTCTAAACTGCATGCCTCCAGATTTTTTTGCGTGCAACCCAAATCTGAGTTTCACGGTGCCTTACTGCAATGAGCCCTCGTTATAGTGCGGGTACCTTGGCCAGAATTCAAACCCGCAAACTAGAGACTGGAAGGTCTTGTCTCGGAGCCGTCGCCAGTAACGTAATTCCAAAGGAATAATTAACTTACTTGAGCTGTCGTCTTTATATCCATAAATCAACCAATATATTCGGTAGCACAGCATTACACAACACTATCAAACGCTGTTGATTTCATTTTTTTTTTTTTTTTAAGCTTGCGGCGGCGTTGGTGTTGTGGGCACACTAGTTGCATGGGCGTCAACCTTCTCCCAACATCGGCACGCCTGTACATTTCTACCTTCCGAATGCGATATAAGAGTAATGCTATATGCACTCCGGAGTGCAGCTCGGCCGGAAATCGCTATACGCGCTACGTTTGTCTCGTATAAAATGAATGATCACATCGAGTTTTCTAAGCCGTAGAAGTTAAGGTGTCCGCTTCGTACATAAGTGGACACGGGTTCAAATCGCAATAAGCCCACCTTTTTTTTTTTTTTTTTTTCTTGAGCGTTGTTTTGTTGAGGCATTTGGCGATATTTATATTTCTTTTTTGCGATGAACACTAAAAAAAACACTGAATATTGTCGACGAAACTTCGAAGATTGGGGACAGCGGGGCTTGGGTTGCCGGCTGGACGCCGCGAAGCGGCGTGTACAGGGTGACTTTTCTAATTAGCAGCCGCATACTGTCGCTGCGGAGCGGCGTGAACGCAGGCGAGGGGCTGTGTAGGGTGACCACCTTCCTCCTAGCGAAATGCGGGACACGCGGGGCAGGGGAGGGGGGGGGGGGCGGGGGGGGGGGGGGGGGGGGGGGGGGCGTGCAGAGGGAATTTTTAACACGCACACCACAAACCGGGGCCCTGTTAACACATTTAGTATCCTGTGTTGTTTATACACCTGCTAATCGCATTGCAGCAATTAAGCTCAGATGATTTTCACGCCCAGTGATACAGTAAAACCTCGTTATAACAAAATGGGATATAACAAACTAATGGATATAACAAAGCAATCATAATTCCCCTTGTTGCTATAGTGGGAAGAAATGGACATTGGCTATAACAAACTAATGGCTATAACAAAATAATTATGACCGCTCCTTCAACTTTGTTATAACGAGGTTTTACTGTATACTTTTATGCCAAATGTGTTATTACATGTTTCGAAGTTGAAAACACAAAAAATAGATTGTAGCGGAACTCAATGCAACAAATAAAAATAAAATACAGTAATTTTTTTTTTTTTTTTAGAATTATTGTTTTTTGTCAACGCTTACGTTTATCAACACGATCCTACACACATTTTAACATTTTTTTTTTTTGTTTTTTTTCTGACCGTTTTGAGTTGCAGGCTTGTTTGTTGCCTTGTGTGGCTGTCTTCACAAAAAAGAAAAAAAAATCCACAGCAACCCTTGCTTTCACATCGACATAGTGATTTGAATTTAATGACACAGTGATTCGAATATAATTACAATATTTTATATTTAAACTTTTTGCGAGCAGTTTTTCTTAAAATATTTTGCCACCAAGTGGAAAGGCACAATGGAACATGCTCATCGGTTTTCCTGCAAAAACGACAGTCGCTTCTCGCAATACTTAAACAGAAAATGGCATACCATTGTGAATTATCCGAATACCAGCGACCTCCGCGCTTCCCCGCCTCCCGTTGTTCGACAGCACCATGAGTTTCAGAGTGAATTTTATGACAGTATGAAGTGCGGGACATTTTGAAAATTTTGAAGTTTCATGCGGGACGCGGGACACGAGCCCTCAATGCGGGACGGGTGGTCACCCTAGGGCCGTGTTAACGAGCCCCCCAGTGATACACGCGCAGTTCGAAAAAGGGTGGCCCGAGCGGCATGAGCTTTCCGCGTAGGGCGTATAGCAATTTCCGTAGAAGTGCACTACATAGTGCATATAGCATCGCTCATGCGATAAATATTATCAAATATTACATCAAAGAAAAAAAGAAAAAAAAAAAAGATTTCGACAAAACTTTGTCGCACCGTGGCCTTGTTCTTAGTTGCGATCAGGTCGTTCATTTCCTGGGATAGGTCATGTTCATTATCTGAAATCACACAAAAATACAGTATTTGCAAGAGATGGTGCAAACTTGGTCACCAGAGAAACTTACCTGAAACGTTTACTACCACTGCTCCGTAAAGCCCCATGCCGCGCCAATTTACCTTGACTCTGTCTCCCGTTGTCACCAACGATCGCTTTCCGCGAATGTCTTCTTTTCTTACCACCTCATACGTGTTGTCGTCGGTAAAATGGACTAGAACACGCGACATCGTGCAAGAAGTTCAGGTAAGAGCGCGTCAAATATCAGACATAGTAGCCAAAACTCTGTACACTCTGGCGATTTCGCTGATTTCGCCGCGCGCTTGTAAGACTAAAGTTGCCAGAGGGCAGCCTCTTTCACGCTAAATGCTCAATGAGCCAAATCTCGCAAAACACTATGAGAAGAATGTCAAGAAAATGTTAGGCAAACGAAATTATCTGTTTTCTAAGTTAAAAGTAGTGTTTGATAAAATAATGAGTTATATTATAATGCTGTCATGAATATCGTTTGCTCTGAACCACGGTGACAACCACGTTTTAGCGAATATTGCTCATTTCAGCAAATGACGTTTCAGCGAACGATGTTTTAGCGAATATGCTTGTTTCGCTTATTACCAAAGCCGGAAATACTTGCCTGGCGTATCGTTCTTTACCACAAGGGAAAAGAATTGGAAAAGAACGACATACAAGGGGACGCCAGGCTATTTAAAAAGACCATGAAATGACCTTTTTACTTTTTCCAGATAACTTTTACATTAAACCGTCAATGTTCACTGAATGCCGAACAGGCATCCGTTTTCGTCTCGGTTTATTAACTTATTCACAAAAAATTAATGAAATATCGACTTTTTCTTTCTCTCCAACTGACCGCAAAACAAGCCGTGACGTACGCTGTTTCCGGAACCGGAAGTCTTCTCGGCAGTAGGAGAATGGGAGCGTTAGCGGCGACGATTGGGGTGCGCCAGTAGGTTTTACTGCGCTGATGTCACTGACGTATTTTCTGAATCGGCGCCTCTCATCGCCGCATCGCAGCCAACGTTACTACCAGGTGAAACAAGGAGACGGCAGGCTCTTTAAATCGACCGGAAAATTCGCTTTCTTAACGTATTGCGCTACGACTTTGTGCAGCGTTGCCCACAGATGGTGCATTTTTTTTTGTAAAATTTGCGAAGAGCGATCTTACCTGAGGAAAAAGTAAAGAAAGAAAAAGGCTTATGGAAACGCAGCGACGCCACCGGTCTGCAAACAACGCGGCGCCGTTTCGCACGGGAGGCAAGAGATGGCGCAACCATCTCTCCTCCTCACCCTTCACGTTTCTCTCTTTCTCTATTTTTGGCGCCGCGCGCGCCGCCTAGGGGGGTGCCAAGAAGGAGAACTAGCAGACGACGGCCATGTCCTCTCCGCGCATTCAGAGAGCACAATCTTTCGCGTTGCGTATTTGAAAGTGCAGGTTTCTGATACATTCTCACATTGCATAGTGCCAAGCAAGTGTTAAACACCAAGAAAGAATGAGTTAAACGTGACGGTAGCGTTTTCAACCTTCGGATAAAGCTCGCAGAACTGAGTACATAGAAAATAGAACACAGCTTTATTTCCACGAGTAACAATGCAACGATATGGTTCTCACGAGCGTTGTAAGCACCGTCATAGTCAGTGATTAAATACGTAAGAACGCCTTCATAATATTCGGCCCCACACAATCCCGAGAATTTCTAGATCCTGCAGCATTCCACGAGCTTAACGACTACAAGCGCGAATTGCGATTGCAGCTGCCTCCGCGCTAAAAAGAGCTTGAAACGCTTTAGCAATCATAGCGTAGATAAATATGCATGAGCTATCGAGGACGCCGGACTATTGCGATCATTACTGTCGATCTGGTTTCGACCGGGACCTTCCGAAATTCGGGTGACTGCATGTATAGCAGGGCTAGTTTGTCACTCATCCTTCTTCAAAATCGTTTCCTTTTTTTTTTTTTTTTTTGAGGGGCGTTTGGGGAGAGGGGGGGGGGGGGGCAATACCGTTGGAAACTAGTGTTCCTTCGGTTGTACCGTAACTTCAAGCACTTTTTTTTTAGGTTTAATAAATTTTACAGTTATTTGCCAGAAATAAACATAAGCTGCACAAGCTATGCAAAAAAAAAAAAAAAAGATCGTGATAGTTTATTCATATAAGGTATTACATAGCATCACAGTTGAGAAGTTTTGCCTCCTTTATATTTACTAAAAGTAAAAATATCCAATTTTGGTTTTGGTCATTACCAGAATGGGGAAAAAAATTGCAGAGAAAAGGCAACTGACTCGAGATTAAAATATGTGGCATATATTTATTTTAAAATTACCACAGACTACCATAGCCAAGACAGCAGTGAATGGAAGCGCTTATCAACATGCTCAGATATACTTTTTACAACAAAGACAATAGATGAACAATTATTAAAAGAAGTCACTACACAAATCTAACAGGCAAAACATAAAATTACAAAAAGGTCTCACACTAGCCAGTTTTAACAACAAAGACAGTACACGAAAGTATTATTACAAAAAAGCCTCATCTGAAATTTATGTATACAACACTAATATATACATATACAACACTGAATGTTTACAAGAGGTTTAAGGGGAGACTGACAGTGTACTTATGCTCGCCAAGGTTTTTATTTGTACATGACATATGAGAGCTCAACTACCCAGAACTCAATTGGTGACTCGAAATTCATATTCTTTCCACCCGAAAACCGCATATCAAGAACTCGCCGGTGTGATTCACACTCACTCTCTTCTCCATGGTCACGTGCCATGACCTGTTCGCGTGCTACAGTTCACGGCACAGCAACCAGGCATATCGGCCGTTCGACAACGCAATCCGTGGCGAAACGCGAAACGGACATCCAGCTACAAAAAGAAACGAAAAGCTACACGACCAACGACAACAGCAAAACTGGCACGAATAGGGATGTCGCGAACCACCCTAGGTTCGATTTCGAAAGGTTTCGATATTTGCGAAGCGAACTGAGGTTCGATTTCGAAAAATTTCGATATTTTCGTACCGACCGAGGTTCGATTTCGAAAAATTCGCAACTTTTGTTAACAGCGGAGTTTCGAATTCGAAAAGTTCGAAGCTTTCGCGGTTTCTAAAATTTCGAATTCGAATATTTCGAATATTTTTTTACTTCAGGTTCGATAAATTCGAAGATTTCGAAATTCTTTGTAAAAAAAATTCGAAAACTTCGAACGCTTCGAATTTTTATAGACATGAAGTTCGAACAATTCGAAGATTTCGAATTTCTTTTTGCATAAAGTTCGAAAAGTTCGAAAATTTCGATTCTCTTTTAACGCTAAATTAAAAAAAAAAAAATCGAAGATTTTGAATTTTTTTCTAATCCAAGTTTTCAAAGTTCGAAGTCCGATTTTCAAGTTTTTCCACAGTTTCAGTTTCAAATAACGTTTTCACGACTCACTGGTTTTCACAAAATCAAGTTTAGAAAAGTTAGGGTGTGATATCTAGATTCTGCGAAGTTGGTCAGGCAATTAAATGAGACGACGAGTGTCCCGGACGTGCTAGAATATTTGCCAGTGCAGAATTGTGACCGCCAGCCCCGGGGGGGGGGGGGGGGGGGGGTCTTTAACCTGCATCACGCAGTAGTGATTGCACGAACACTGTTTTACGAGACTCTTCCAGTTCGAAACGGCCAGGGGCGAGCAGGAGGTTGAGGCTCAGAAAAACCTTGAAGCGACCTGGCAAACTAGCTCGCCACCCCTTGCACGCTGGTAGTAATCCGATCCGGTGAAGTTTATAATTGTCCTGGAGGTTTATTTTCTGGGAAGGAGGAATCGCCTCGCAAAAAGCACAAAAGCCGACACAACTCGAGGTCGAGGAGCGTTCTACCATACAAGTGGCGTCGGAAGAGGAAAAACGGGGGGAAAGAGGGTAGCGGGAGGGGGGGGGGGGGGGGGGGCTTCAGCCTTTTTTTTTCCCTTGCCGGTATTTCGGACTGTTAAAGAAAACAATACGGGGACAGAGCTTATTTTAATCTGAAATTATTTATGCATATGTATAGCTAATGTCGCTCTTTACTGCATAAAAGGTTGCGTAGATGGTCATTGTTAGAAACTCGTTGTCAGAAGGCACTGCTCGTCACATGCTTAGTGGTTCGGAAGTTCAAAGCTGTTTTTTCGACCTAAACACCTGTGCCGATAGTAACAAAAGAAAAAAAAAAAAAAAAAAGAATAAATGCGGGAATAAAAAGCAGGAGAGAAAAAAAAAAAACTATCAAGAATTCGTCGGAAGTGTTCTATTCTTGCATAATCAGAGGTTCAGAACTTCGAAACAAGTTTCTTTTACCAAAATGTGTACAGGCTAAAAGAAACACGTCCCAGGAACGTGAAGCGAAAAAAAAAAAAGTTTTCTTTTAATGACGTGCTGAACTTGAACACTACTAGAAATCTTCTCCCATGAGTTAATTTATTCCTTAACGTGAAAAAACAATAAATATATTATTTTGTATTCTGTAGATGCCAATGATATGTACTCTCTGTGGTGTTAATTTAAATGCGATGCCTCAAACAACTTAGACGAAAATAAATCTCAAGTTTAGGTCATAATTGCATGCAGATACAGGTTTGGACATTTCTTCGAAACTCACGTTGAATAACAATAATCACATCTTAAGACGGCACTTACCTAGGCTATACATAGATCATTCTTAAAAAAGTATAACTTATCTACCATGAATAGCTCCGGCTGCAGCGTGCTTCAAATCTGGCACAAACGATAATCGTCAAAAACCCGTCGTCCTTCCTCGCCCCTTCGGGGATTTATTTCTTTAAACCTAAGCATGACAGAACATTGAAATAAACGACATTGTCTTTCGTAAGGAACGCAGCACCGCGTGTAAAAGTTCGAGAAAAAAAAAATTACGAATGTACCCCACTACTTGAAATCAAATGAAACCGTCCGCCGGTTTTTCGAAGTTCGACGAACGTCGAACTTTTACCCTAAAAGTTCGAAGTTCGTCGAACTTCTGACTTTTCAGAATTTGAAAGTTCGAAACTTTTCGAATTCTCTTGATAAATAAGTTCGAAAGTTCGAAATTCATCGAATTTTTTGGTCAGTCAAGTTCGAAAGTTCGACAAGCATCGAACCTTGCAGCGCAATAAATTCGAAAGTTCGAAAAATATCGAATTTTTTAGCGTAATAAGTTCGACGGTTCGAAAAGCGTCGAACTTCTTAGCTTAACAAGTTCGAAAATTCGACCTCCGTCGAATTTTACGATATAGACAATTCGAAAAATCGAAATCTTTCGAACCTTTCGAACCGCTTGATTCGATCATCGAAACTTCGATTCGAAAAAAGTTCGCGGCATCCCTAGGCACGAACGTCTAAGCAAGTCCGGATCTGTCCGATGCAACGCGAGTCCGGCGTAGCTAGCGGCGCAGCTCGCGACAAGACACACGGGACACGGGAGAATTTGCTGGCTGGATCCTTCATGGCTGCCAAAGGGGCGGAGCGCTAGGAGAAGGTCACGTGCCACACACCGGCCTACCGCTGAGCTCGGCGGCATGATCAAAGGTTGTCGCTACTTTTCCAGTATAGAGGGACTTTACGCCAACGCAGAGCCGTTTATCTGCGCCAACGAACGAGCATACGGCGCCGAGAGCAGGCCTATTTAGCAGACGATAATTTCGACTCGAAAGCGGCGCGCGTTCCGCAGGCGGGGACAGTCGCAGAAACAAAAAAGACTGGCGCGGTAACAGCAAGGAACTGCAGTTCCTTGTCTGCAAAAGGGCCGGCTTTCAGCGTCGTCTGCTCGTTCGTTGGCGGCAGTTGGCACCGCGACCGCTTGCGACATCTCTTGTCTCCCGTGCGAAACGGCGCCGTGTTGTTTTTCCTCAGGTAAGTTCGCTCTTTGAAAATTTTACGAAAAAAATGCACCATCTGGGGGCAACGCTGCACAAAGTCGTAGCGCGATAGGTTTGTGGCTCGTACGCAAGTAGCGAGTTCAACAACGTTTATTGCACGCACCGTGAGCCCTTATATACAGTATGCCCTAGTGGCGCAGCTGCTGTGCCGATGACAAGGCTGACGATGACAAGGCTGATCTGGTATCAGCTAGTGACGCTGCGCTACATCTTCCCTCTTTCAAACAAAACAAAACAACCAAGAGAAAAACAATATACAAAAAATTAAGGAATAGAAAATAGTACGCTTGCAGGATCACGCTTAAAGTTCTGGTCTTGGGTATCTGACGGGGCTCCGCCGTTGTCTTGAACTCCTCCTGAGCTCCTGGGTCGGAGGGTCTTGTGATGGTGGGGCTCCAGTTGAGGGTTCTTCCCTCACCTGGCGGCCAGTGGATTCAGCAGCCGCAGTGGTGACAAGTTGCTGTTGCCGAGGCGGCAGCACGCGCAGGTGCTCTCTCGTTCTGCGTAGCACACGTCCGTCACCAGTTTCGATCACAAAGGAGCGCGGAGGCCCCGCACGCCTCATGACGACTGCCGGAGACCACGTGTGTGAAATGGTGTCAAATGCAGACACTTGCTGACCATCTTGTAGTTCCGGAAGGGCCTTTGTTCTGTTGTAGAAGGTCCGCTGCTTGCTGCGGATCTCTTGTAGTCGTTTGTGCACCTCTTTGGGCGGTACGATGGCTGGTTCCAGGCAGCAGTCGGGAACCGGAAGCAGTGTGCGTGTCTGACGACCCATTAGCCTCTGTACTGGTGACTTGAGCAGGTTATCCCTTGGGCTGTTGCGCCATTCCAGGAGGGCGCTGCAGAAGTCGAGGGTATCGTAGGAGCACCTCGTTAGCAGTTTCTTTGCCTCTTGTACGGCTCGCTCAGCCATTCCGTTGGAGCGAGGGTGGTGAGGGCTTGACGTGACGTGAATGATTCGAAACTTACTCACAAAGTCCTTGAAGTTGTAACTATTGAAGGGGGGCCCATTGTCACTGCACAACTTGGCTGGTATCCCATGAGTAGCGAAGACTTCTGCACAGGCGGATACCACTGAAGATGCCGTGGACTGTCGCAGTTCCTTGATCTCGAAAAAGAAAGAGTAGAAGTCAACAATTATCAAAAAAGTCCGATTGTTGTGGTAGAACAAGTCTAGCCCCACCAGCTGCCATGGTAGGTTGGGTAGTTCATGGCTCAGTAATGGTAATCTTGCGTTTCTGGGCTTATGCTTCGTGCAGACCCCACATGACTTTGCAAGAGCTTCAATGTCGCATGACATGGTCGGCCAATACATCACTTCTCGGGCGCGCATCTTCATTTTTGCTTCACCCCCGTGTGCGGCATGCAAAAGTTTCAAAATCTCCGTCCTCTTGGCTTTTGGAATTACCACTTTGTTACTCCTGAAGACCAGCCCATCTTCCACGTGCATCTCGTCTCTGTAGTTCCAGTACGTTCGAAGTTCCTCCGGGACGTCTCGTTTCTCAGCTGGCCAGGATGCTGATGCATACTCTCGGAGCTGGATGAAAGCCGCGTCGTTTTCTGTCGCCTGGAGGATGTCGTGGAGCCGTGCATCTGAAACTGATAGCGTAGAAACAATGTTGACTTGAAACTGGTCGCTTTCGTCTTTTAGCATAGTTTTGGTTGGGAACCTTGACAACGCGTCCGCTAGAAAAAGTTCCTTCCCTGGCTTGTACTGCACGGTAATGGGGTATCGCTGAAGCACTAGCCTCATCCTTTGTAGGCGGAGCGGGCAGTCACAAAGGGGTTTCCTGAATATTGCTTCCAGTGGCTTATGATCCGACTCTACAGTCACAGATGAGTGCCCTAAAATATAATCTTTAAACTTGTTGCATCCGTGTACTATAGCGAGTGCCTCTTTTTCAATCTGAGCGTATTTTTGCTGAGTCTCGGTGAGGGAGCGTGATGAGTAGGCGATAGGATGTCCGTTCTGAATAATCACCGCCCCGACGCCGGTCTGGCTTGCGTCCACTGACAACGTGACTGGTTTACCTTGCTCAAAATACGCAAGTACCGGCGCCTTGATAAGCGACTCTCTGAGCGTTTTAAAACTGTTTTGTTGGCGCTCAGTCCAAACCCAAGCGATATCTTTTTTCAACAGCTCGCGTAATGGTGCTGAGAGGGCAGACATATTTGGTATGAATCTTGCGACAAAGTTCGTCATGCCAAGAAATATTTGTAATTCCTTACGGTCTCTGGGCTCCGGAACAGCAAGGATGTCCTCGACTCGTTCTGGGTCTAGGCTCAGACCTTCAGTCGTCAAAATGTGACCTAGGTACCGTACTTGGTCCTGCAGAAAATGACACTTTTTTAGGTTCAACTTGAGATCGTGTCTCTCGCAGCGTTCCAGTAAGTTTTTTAGGTTCGCGTCATGTTCTTGTATCGTGGTTCCCCAAACTAAAATGTCGTCCATGACGACTGCTACGTTCTTTAGGCCTTCTAGGACACCGTGCATTGCGCGCTGGAATACTTCTGGGGCTGTGGAAATTCCGAACGGCATGCGCAGAAACCTGTATCTGCCATAAGGGGTGCTCATGGTACAAATGTGCGAACTTGCCTCAGACAACTTTATTTGCCAAAAGCCCGATGACGCATCCAATGTCGAAAAAAACTTGGCGCCGTGCAGATGTGGAGCTACATCTCCTAGCGTCGGCATGGGATAATGTTCGCGTAATAGACGTTTGTTAAGATCAGATGGGTCTAAGCAAATTCTGACCTTATCTTTCTTTACGACGACCACCATGTGACTCGACCATTCTGTTGGTTCGTTTACCTTCGTGACGACTTGATCCGCTTCCATGCGGTCCAACTCTGCCTTGACTCTATCCTGGAGAGCCACAGGTATTCGTCTTGCTGCCTTGACGGTGCCCTTGGATCCTGGTTGTAGCTTCATATCGTAGACCACACCCTTCAGCTGGCCGAGCCCTTGAAAAACTGCTTCAAAAGGTCGTGCTGCACCGTATAGCTCTGCGGTGCTCACACCTGCAACGCGAGTAATCAGTCCGAGGCGTTCTGCTACACTGCCACTCAAGGTGACTGGAACCTCTTGGCGTACAACAAAAAACCCAGCGTGACATTTTTTGTCTTGATTGCGTATAGGGTGTTTTCACTGACGTAATTTCGTCCACCATTTTGTTGTTGCGATCTGTCTGGCGTGTGCCAAACTTGAGGATTTAAAGGATTTGCATGCCTTCTCAAATGCGTAAGCACCGCTGACATCATTTCAACCGGTTACGATGTAATCCTTCAATGTAGTAAATTTGTTTGAAAAAACAAACTAACAACAAAATGGCGGATTGACGTCATGTGCAAACAACCTATATCGAGGCAAATTCTTTCTGGTGCCTTTTCTGCATGACCGAAGAACGTGTTTAGGGTGACGTCGCACTTTACTGTTGGCTTCGACGTAACTTGGCCTAGTGTGGCCCTGGAGATGACACAACAATTGGCTCCGGTATCTATTTTGCAATGAACGGGAACGCCTTCTAGTGTCACCGTAGCCGTCCATAGATCCTCGCGAGATACAGCACCGACAGTTAGCGCTTCCAAGAAGTATGTCTCGTCATCGCTAGCCACAACCTCGTGTACTTGCTGTACGGGGGCCCTTTTCCGCCCTGACTTGCAAACTTTAGCGAAGTGATTAAGGCTTCCGCACTTGTTGCATTTCTTTCCGGCTGCGGGGCAAACCTTAGTTCTGTGCTTCGTAAACCCACACTTTTGGCACGATGATCCGATTTCTTGAACTAAGTTGAATTCTTTTTCGCGTTCCTTTGCTCCGCTTTGTATTGTATTGCACCGTTCTTCGCCCTGTTCCCAGGCTCTGCATCTTTCCACCGCTTTGGTGTAGGACGGGTTGTCGGATATGAGCTTTTGCTGAAGTTTCTTGTCCCGAACGCCCAGAATGATTCTACTTCTAAGTAGACGTTCTTCAATATCCCCAAACTCGCAGTTGTTTGCCAAAATACGAATGTCAGTCAACCATTCGTTGAAAGGTTCCCCATCTTTCTGGTCCCTCGTACCAAACACAAACTCGTTGTAAGTTAGGTTTGAAGCCGGCTTGTAGAAGCTATCAAACTTCTCAATGATAGTCGTCACGTCTTGCCTTTCCTCTTGGTTTACAAACGTAAATGTACTGAACGATTTCCTTGCATCTTCCCCGATTATCATTAACAAGGTCGCCGCCTGGACTTCTTTCGGTTGATGGCTGAGCAGGGTGGCCGTAGAAAACAGTTGAAACTCACATTTCCAAGTTGTCCAGTTCCGCCACAGGTCTCCCGTCGTGTCCAGGGGTTTTGGGGGCTGCAGCAGCGTTGTACAGGGCAGCACGATGGCCTGCTGCGGAGACGCCATCGTCCGGGTGGTGTGGCTGTCGCCTACTTTCCGTCGCTCGGTGGCTGCTTCATTGATCCGCGGCGCTCGGGCGATAAAGCACTTCTGACACCATGTGGCTCGTACGCAAGTAGCGAGTTCAACAACGTTTATTGCACGCACCGTGAGCCCTTATATACAGTATGCCCTAGCGGCGCAGCTGCTGTGCCGATAACAAGGCTGACGATGACAAGGCTGATCTGGTATCAGCTAGTGACGCTGCGCTACAAGGTTAAAGGGCAACTCCGCTCAATTCCGAAGATTTCGGGATAATGATTGATTTCGAATTAAAAGCCCTAGTAAAACACACTACGTCGTTTGCTTCGCGAAAAATGGGATATATATTTTTAAATCTGATTTTAAACACGAGCAGAAATCGAAACCGAAACTTCGGCTCCGCCCGGCAACAATGGCCTCGGGTCGCCAAGTACATGGCCATCACGTGGTACGAGATGTCACGTGATCCTCGGCCCAACGACGGGTGGGATTGGGGCGGGCGTGTGGCAGGCGCGAGTGTCGTCTGCACCGCACTCTTCGCCACGTTTTGGTGTCTACGGCATTCGACGGCGTCTGCACAACTGCGGCATAAGTGTGCGCGCACGTGGTGTCCGTAATGTGGACGAAACTCCGAGAGACATTAATCACAATCGGTGAGACGACGACGGCGGTTGTGACGCGGAAGACGGCGGTAACGGCGGGACCACGGCGGACGGCCGGACGGCTCCAGGGGTTTCCCCAGGAATTGAAATCAGGGGGGGTGTCTAATTTTTTTTTTGGGGGGTGGGGGGGGGGGGGGGGGGGGCATTGCGAATATAGGAGTCGTTGTGAATTAAGGGGGTGCCTTCGGAAAAGAGGGGGAGTCCTAACCACCTCTAGGGGGGGTCTAGGAAAATCCCTGGACGGCTCCCAAGAAACGCGCTGCGCAGGCGCGTTACGCCAATCACGTGGACACTGCTGATCACCGAGAGGCAACGTTGCTGACGTCATGCGCTACGCTCGCCCGGAGAAGTGAAAACAAGCAAAAGGGGGCCATGTAGATGTCGTTTAGCTCAATGTTGGCTCCGCCCATGCCGTCGCCTTGACTGCGCTGTTCGTTGCGCCTGAATTCGCCCGCTCAAGTCAGCCGATTTCGGCAGCTTGGCGAGTTGCAAAGTTTGCCGGACCGTTTAAGAAACATTTAGACGGAACTGCGTCGTAAGATTTCACGTGTGATGTTCCTAGGCGATACTGAAGAGGACTGCATTGTTTTTTCAAAACCAAAAATGAAGCGGAGTTGCCCTTTAAGAAACCGAATTTTTCGGTCGATTTAAAGAGCCTGCCGTCTCCTTGTTTCACCCAGTAGATTACCTCAGTTGTGGAACTCAAGCGGAAGGGGGTACCCCCCCCCCCCCCCCTCACTCACTTCAATCCGCCAAGTGTAAGGTCTTAGCCAAGTGTCGTTCGAAGCGCCATCTAGATTTTCATTTCATAACTGTGCGTTCCAAAGAGCAGAGATGAAGCGCCATCTAGACGGCGTGCTTCGAAACGTACGTAGCGATCCCAGCGATCCCGACCCGATTTCACCGTGCCCGATTCCCATAGAATACGCTGCAGTTATCAAAGCAGCCGTTCGGCAGCGCGTCGAGCGACGCTTGGCGAGTCGTGGTGAGTGAGGGGGGGGGGGGGTACTGTTCGTGCATGCAGCGTCTATGAGCAGTTCCGTAACTGAGCTAATCTAATAACGTTGATCGCAGCTGAGCGAAATTCAACGAGATGTGTTGCGCTACAGCGACAGCATGGGACTAGTCCCATACGCCGGTATGCCTGTTGGGAAGTGCAGCGGGTCTTCCGGTGAAGACTCCAGAAGTCAACCCAACTTTCATTGTTGGTAAGAGACGGCCCGTGTCAGTCGTTTGCAAAGCGACGTAGATGGAAACAAATTGCCGCGGCGTTTTTCGAGGCCTCGGAGATGCAGGAGCGAGCCGACGTTAAAAAAGATACGTTTGAACTACGAGTGTCAGAAAGAGCTGCGGCATAAGTTTGCGACTCTACGCACGTGGTGTCCGTAGTGTGGACGAAACTCCGAGATGCAATAATCACAAACGGTGAGACGACGACGGTGGTTGTGACGCGGAAGACGGCGGTAACGTCGGGACCACGGCGGGATGTTGGTCTGCTCCCAAGAAGCGCGCTGCGCAGGCGCGTACGCCAATCACGTGGACACCGCTGAGCGCCGAGAGGAAACGTTGCTGACGTCATACGCTACGCTCGATTGGAGAAGTAAAAACAAGCAAAAGGGGGCCATGATGATGACGTTTAGCTCAATGTTGGCTCCGCCCAGGCCGTAGCCTTGACTGCGCTGTTGGTTGCGCCTGAATTCGCCCGCTCAAGTCAGCCGATTTCGGCAACTTGGCGAGTTGCAAAGCTTGCCGGACCGTTTAAGAAACATTTAGACAGAACTGCGTCGTAATATTTGACGTGTGGTCTTCCTACGCGATACTGAAGAGGACTGCATTGTTTTTTTTTCAAAACCATAAATGAAGCGGAGTTGCCCTTTAAGTACTTTTTTGCTTGCTGCTTGAAGTCGGCACGCGCGAGAACACTTAGAAAAATAAACGTTCAGTCAGTCAAGAGTTTTGAGACGAAGGAAATCAAAGGAAATAACCGTTCGTCGGTCGTCGCGACCCAAGTAACTGAAGTCGGCCCTGCCCCACTGCGCACGCGCAGTAGTTGCTTCGTTTACCACACGATAGATGGCGCTTGGCTCTCAGCGTACGTAGAGTAACTGTATATGCTCCGCTTGCGGAGCAGAGTACCGCAATGGTGCCATTCTGGAGCCAAGCACTGCGGGAAGCCACGGTCGGTTTTTGCAGGGGCACGAAGGCGCAGACGCGAGGCGGCGTGCTGCGGCGCGCTGCTGAAGGAAAATAGTGCGGCGTGCGGCGACGAGCCGCGCATGCGCCGTGATAGTTGTCCCATCGTTTCCTGTCTCCCTCTCGCAAAAAGCGCACTCGCGTACCTGCGCGTACGCACCCGCGGGTCCCGCGGGTCGCGTACGAAGTGAAGCAGTCAAGTCGCTGTTGCTGGGACGCAGATAGCGTCGTGAGCCCGCTGTGTGCCCAACTTTTGGAGGACCTTTCCCCTCGAGCGATCACAGGAAGCAAAAGAGCGCAGGCCTGCTTATTTTCCTCTTGTGTTTAATCGAAGAGCGAGTGCCGCTGCTCACCCTGTGACATTTTTTTTTTTT